GTTTAACGTCTCATCCGAAAGACGGCACCCACTGCCAATATAGTGACCCCTTCACTTTACTGGGGCATTAGGACTTACACAGACGACAGGTTGAGCGCCCCATGCTGGCCTCTCTAAAACAACTTCAACAGCAACCCAAAGTTTTCCCATGTGGTCTCCCATCCAGATACTGACCAGGTTCAGCCCTGCTTGTCTTCAGTGAGTAACTGGTCTTGGGCTGCAGGGTGATATGGCTGTGGCAAAAGCAGTTTAAACAGTTCAATGTTTACTATTGTTGAAGCTGAAGAGAGTATCTTTGCACATTTCATTTGTGTGTCTGGGTTTTAACGCCTATTTTCTCTTCAGATCTTCATGTGGCTCCCTCAGGAGGCCCCCAGTCCCAGAGCCACGGTCCCCATCGGACAAACCAGCGGAGAGGTGCAAGTCCCCCTCTGGGCCTGGCCAAGTGGTTTGGTTCAGACATGCTGCAGCAGCCTCTCCCTTCCATGCCTTCCACTAAAGTGATCAGTGTTGATGAGCTCGAGTTCCGCCAGTGATGACAATCCTCTGACCAATCAGCAGGAGTGAAGCAACACAAACCTTCCCTTCCCCATGATCCTCTAGTTGGAGATATGTGAACTTTTTGATTTCTACCATTGTGTACAGATGTCAGAGCCCCGTCTATATTTTTTTTCTTTTCCTGTGCTCTGTCGGAATCCCTTGCAGTTCTGTTTTGTTTATTCTTTAAGAAGGCCTGAAGTTGAGAAGGAAAATGTTTTATTTTTCCTGCCGCTGTCACGATGTAGGATGTTTTGTTCTTCTGGAGATTTCAGATTTTGCAGTAAAGTAAATAATGTATAGGCCTGAATTGTACAGATTATGGGAATTGATTTTCTTTTTCCATCTTGTACAAAGAAGTGACTTTTTTTCTTTTTGGTTTTCCTTCTGTGCTTGTGGGGAAGGTTCTCCTGCTGTTGGGGAACAGAAAACGTGCTCGCTCTTTGTCCAGTCACACAATGTCTGCACAATGTTTTCCATGTAAAGTTGATTATGAATGGGCGGCACTGCTAGTTTGTTGGAAAGGAGATGTTCCCATTTGTAGCAGTTTAATGCATCCCGGATCCAGAGATACAGGCCCTTGAAACTTTTGCTGGAATATTGAAGCCAGAATGTTCTCAAAGAGGGGACACTCTTCCAACCCAAGAAGCAAATGCTAGTTGTGCCTTTGTTTCCTTTTTTTTTTTTTTCCTTTTTCTTTTTCTTTTTTTTTTTTTTTAAAGAGAAAAACCCTCCCATCCTCCTCTAGCCAGTCTTCTTAGTCACTGTATGAGAAGCACTGCTCTGAATCACATTTGTTTTAGGGTGGCAGGGGTTCGCAATTAAGTAATGTGCTATTAATTTAAGAAGCACAAATAGTTAATAAATATAAAAAGCTAAATAAAAAAATCATTCACATAATTGCATTTCTGACTTGTTTATTTTCAAGGTTTTAGTTTGTCTGAATGGGAAAAAAAACACTTCAGATGCCAGAGAAAGAAATTAATAGTTTGTTGCAACCTTCTTTGCCTTTTTTATATACATATTTCATTTCAACAAAATGCTCCATCCTCTGTTCTTCCTTTGAACATTTAGAAAAAATGGCTAATGTCATGATTTTTATGCTGCAATTTGTTTAAGGGTGTCCTTGGTGCTTTAACTTGAGTGCATATTAGTGTTATCCATGCATGTCCAAGCTGTTCTCCCTTCCTTTGCCATTCTTTTGCAGTCTCATGGCCACTTGGCTTGGGTGTTGTTTTCCTATTCAGTGCAATATTGCTTTGTATTTATAGGGCTTTTCACAAACCCAAGGACAACAGATAATGCATTAACCAAGAAAATGTAAAGTTTGAAAAGAATAGTCAAATATAGAAATCAAAAACAGGGACACAATGCTTGCTTTTCTTAATGGGATTAGGGGCTGAACAATACATTGAGCATCAACATTGCAGTGTGTGTATGTGCAATAGTCGCATCACAAGATTGTATAATTAAAGTGTAAAGGATAATGATATTATTAATTTTTTTATCATTTATACAATGATCAGATCACACAATCCTCATCCCCCCACCCCCCTCTGATAAAATCTTGACTTGCGTAGAAATGTGCCAGATTACACGCTCCTTCACGCTCAGTAATCCTGTGATTTCTACGATGAGCATTATTTCCCAAAGCAGCCACAAGTGTTGCTATAAAATTATTTCTCATCTCAACTTCAATTAAAAAAAAAAAAAATCTTATTTCAAAACACAAACACATTTGGGGCACAAACAAATATAATTCATGTATTTTTCTTAGACAAAATATCTTTAAGAAACAAATTTTTTTGTTTGGTATAATTTTTATCTTAAGATTAATGTATCTTTTGTTGGTCGGTTATCTATAAACAAGAATAATGAATGGCATTTGAGGTGAAGCACTTCAAAACAAGCTCGCTATATGCGTCAAAACATCAATTGCCATGAGATTGTGTTGGTTTGTTAAATAAAATTAAAAGTGAAATATTCCCAGTTTCAGAGAAGCCTATAATGAACTGTTGTCACTATTAATTACAAAATTGAATAAGCAGGAAATGCTTTTGCAATGTATTTGCAACACTGAATATTCCCAGATTACCTTGTTGGAAGGATGAGAGACCTCGGAAACTCATTGTGAGAATGGAGATGTCTGCATGTTTGTGCCAGTCTGTCAGATAAAATTGCTTAAAACACTTAAATATTTTAGAAAAGGTAGTTAAAATTAAAAAAAAAAATTACCTGGCTGGCACAATAATGGCAGCACCCGCTGAGATAACCAAGACATTATGTGCTCCTATGCATAGTGTCATCCACATGACAGAACTTGTTGTGAAAAACAAAAAAATGAAACATGCTAGACTTTCAGCAAATGGTGTCGGGAAGGGTCGCAGGCATAGTATTGGTTGTCATGAACTATGCCACATTTCACAAGTAGAAACGATTGAATCTTGTCACGACGCCCAATTGTCGTTTACGAATCCCCATGACACCCTACTTCAAGAAAATAAAACTTTAAAGCAAATGTTTCTCTGACCTAGATAGAATAATTTTTTATTTATTTGTAAATTGGCCATTTTTAACTATGTTACAATCAATTTTTTGCAAGTGCCTAAGTCTCTACCAACTAAAAAATTTCAGAAAACTAAATTTAAAATTTCATCATTTAAATTTAACTCACTTTAAAGTCCCCATGAACCAGAAGCAGTGACTGTTAATTTTGTTCGCATTGTGACAAAGTTCCTAGAGAAACTGAATATTAAATAAGAAAACAGTGTGCGTGGCTTGTTTTTTTTTCTACTGCAAGGTGATTGGATTTAGAAAAGTAGGCATTTTATTCAGAAAGATGGGGAAAAGTGTTTTGGGGAGAGTTATTACAACCTAACAGACACCTCACCATTTCTGTTGTCAAAACTGACAGTTGGAGCGGCATGATTAAAATATGTTAGCCACGCCCATGTGCTTGGAAATATGTGATGTGACAATTTAACTGAAAACAAACAGGAAGTGCATTTTCAGATTTCAATTTTAGATTACAAGGGCAAACTATATGTTTTTTCTCAATGACATGCACATATGAGTTGTTCACCACAAAACTAGCAATGTGAGCTAACAAAATCATATGGTTGGTTTTGATTTCTTGGGGACTTTAAAAAGAAACCATGTGTCCAAACTAGGGTTGCATGGTTTATCGGTACTAAGGTAGTATCATGATACTATGGCTCAAATACTGGCAGTGCCACTGTAGTTTGTAAACGGTAGTATCGTCATTAACGGTCTATCTACAAAAGATAATGTTGCATGTGGAAAAGTCATTAAAATGCTCACACGCTTGTGCAACAATAGACCGTTTCATTTTAATAGTGTGTGGAGCCCTTTAAGGTTGCATGTTTTCTGATGTTTGCTGACATTTCAAATGCACACATGAATCGGTTCCTTTCTGTTCCTGTCAATATGATTTAGTAGCTATAATAACCGCAACAATCTCTTAAAAAGAACGACTCACAAAGTGAAATTTTGAATTACTTTGGATTGTTACCTGATAAGACTGAAAAATTAACAAAACAAACCAAAATACCCAAAATAGCAACAGGAAACAAACAATTTTTGACCACCTTATATAGCCTAATTTTGGGGGAAAATGCTTTTTTTTTGTAACCATTTTCATTTGGTATAATTTGTATCTTTATTTTAATGCAATTTTTTGTTGGTCAGTTATCTACAAAATAAACAAAAATAATGAATAAATTTCAGGTGAAGTGACGTGCAAACAATAATGCTTTTTTCAATAATAAGAGGATTATGAATTAAATTCAGGTAGACCTATTATAACATATAAAAGTATATAGTATATATAGTATTTCTAACAATTTTCTTTATAGTTTGAGTTATGAATTGCAGTATCACAATACTATTTGGTATCGTGATACTTCAGCTGGTATAGTATTGTAAAATGAATTAATGGTATCGCGACAAATCTAGTCCAAACAGGAAATTGAATGTACACAAAAATGTACGGCCACAAAAAAAAACGGCCCTAAGCAACTCCAGCCATGGGGCCCAAGTCCTGAAGTGCACTCTTTCTTCTTAATTATTTTTATTTATTACTGTTTTTTTTTAATGTCATTAAATTTTCTTCTCTACTTTTTATCTTAATGCAAACTATCTTAATTAGCTTTCTTTAAATTCATTTACAGCTAAAAATAAATAAAAATTATTTATAAATTTGACTGCTCTGTGATTGAGGGCGGTGGATATTTTATTTTATGATATTATAATGTCATAACATTACATTATTATAATAATATTGTTTTAATATATATTAATTAATATTTAATTTTAATTTTATTTGTTTAACTCAATACAATATATAATAGAAAACAATGTTATATATAGTTTATTGGTATAATTTACATTTCTAGATATTTATTGGGGGCCTTCAGATGTCATGGGACCCTAAATGGCCGCTTGCCTATTGGTTAAATCCACCCCTGCAATCATCAAATTATTTTATTTAAAAAATAATTAAAAGACTCAAATGTTTTAAAGCACTTCAGGGTGAATAAACTGAGTAAAATTTCATGTTTGGGTTAACTGTCCTTCCTTAAAAGTATTTGTGCATCTGATTGTCAAAGCAGCTAGACACACAGAGCCAATGTGCACCAATTACCTTGCTCTATTGTGTCTTTGTGCTTGATCTGTTCCCTGGCAGTTCAAGACAGCAGCTGTCTGACCGACTATCCAGGCTACAGCGTCCTACGAGAAGAGTCCTCACTGTTCACTTGGATTATATACACGTTTATCGTACGTTTTCCAAGTGCTTACAGTGTCAGAAAGAGAAAAAGAGACGGTCTGCTGTCATGCATTGAGTGTCTGGCGTACATTTGGGGGAGGGGGCTCGCTGAAAAACAAGGATGTGAATTCACAGCAGCGCCGCAAACCAGGAAGACGAACAGCATGCGAGCTGAAAACTTCAATATCGCTGCGTGAATAGCATCTCCGTGTCCTTTATAAACTTGGAAACCTGATTAAACTGCGTGAAAAAAAATTGAAGATATTAAACGCGGACGACACCCCCCTCCCTTTAAGCAAAGGTCAAAGGTTACAGGAAGCTGGGGGGCTGCCATTTTTCCCCCTGCTAACATGTTAGATGCTAAAAAGGCAAGGAGTGGTGGTCGCTGCTGAGCGCTTGTGTTTATTAGGTGTTTGTCATCGGTTTGCCTCTTCTGTCGTATGCGTTAGGCTCGGTTGTTGAATGAAGGCGGCATGGAGAGGACAGAGCAGCCGTGGAATTCCTCCTACACGTACCAGGTGAGCAAACACAGCGCCGAGATGCTACACAACCTCAACGGCCAGAGAAAAGATGGAGGCAGGTTTTGTGATGTTATCTTGCGCGTCGGAGAGGAGAGCTTCCCCGCGCACAAGGCGGTGCTGGCGGCGTGCAGCGAGTATTTCGAGTCGGTGTTCAGCTGTCAGACGGAAGACGACGGCCAGGGCAAGGAGCTGGAGATGCACACGATCAGTCCTAAAGTTTTCCGAGACATCCTGGACTTCGCGTACACCTCCAAGATCGTGGTGCGCCTGGAGTGCTTCCCGGAGCTGATGACCGCGGCGAAGTTTCTACTCATGCGGTCCGTCATCGAGATCTGCCAGGAGGTCATCAAACAGTCCAACGTGCAGATCCTCGTGCCCCCTTCCCGCGGAGGCGAGCACAGCCTGTTCAGGGCCGCGGAGCAGCTGTCATACCCCCTACCCGTGGACATGTCAAACGGGAGCGTGTCCAACGGCGCTGTGTTTACCGACAACAATGACAGCGACAGTGCCGATCCAAGCAACATCTCTCAGCCAGCCGCTCCCGGGGCTCCAACGGCCGATCGCTTAGCGGTTTCACCGTTGGAGTTTTCCAGCGGCCACCTAAACATCGACGGCTTTAAACGAGGAAAACCCAGACCCAAAAAGGAGCCCATAGCGCAGCCGGTCACTTACAACAATAGCACTGGTCAAAACGAAGAAGGGGCCCTTTTCTCCTGTGGGATATGCGGGAAGATGTTTCCAGACGAAGTCCAGTTGAGAAACCACGAGGCGCAGCACGGGACTTTCACCGGTGTCATGAGCAGTGGAATAGAGCTGGTCGTTGTTGACGGCCCGACGATGATCTCTCATCCTGGCCAACAGAGATTTCAGGGAAACGGACTACCTACGGACACCCGTAAACGCGAGAGGACGAGACGACACGTCGCGTGCGACTTGTGCGGCAAGGTTTTCCGAGACGTCTACCACCTCAACCGGCACAAGCTGTCGCACTCCGGCGAGAAACCGTACGCGTGTCCGGTGTGCGGGCTGCGCTTTAAACGCAAAGATAGGATGTCTTACCATGTGAGGTCTCACGACGGCTCCGTGGGTAAGCCCTATGTCTGTCAAAGCTGCGGGAAAGGTTTCTCCAGGTGAGGTTCAGTCAACAATGGAAACCATGGTCAAAATCTTATCATTCATTTATGTTTTTGGTGTTATAGCTGATGGTTTTCGTTGTTTTTGTAGGCCAGACCATCTGAATGGACATATAAAACAGGTGCACACCACAGAGAGACCTCACAAGTGTCAGGTGAGAGATGCTGGCATTTATTTACACATTCTGAGTTTCATTCATTGAACAGAAAAGGTGAATCAGATTCCACACTCATTTTCCAAGGACACAAACTACCCATCATCAAAATGACAAAAAGCAACAATAAAAACTAAAACATAAACAACACAAAAGTGATGGTTTAGTAAGTGCCTCAGTTTTAACGTTTGATTCTGGATCATACAGTCACGCCACATCACAAGGTGGATTCCCTGATAAAAAGGTTGGAATTCAACGACAAATCTTTATTGTTAATCTAGAAAACACAAAGCTCTTTATGATTGAGCATGCTTTATATAATGAAATGTGTTTTCATCCACTGAAACAGCATAAACTACAAGATTTAACTTTGACTTGATATTAAAATGACAAGTTTCAAATTGTAAATCTACTCATGCTGTGGCTAAAACAACACTGGATTTAAGAACACATGCATACCTAAGCAAAAGGCCTGTATCAAATATTTACCTGTCTGACTATGCTTAAATGTTTTTTGTATTTAAACCAGGCCCGGATTGGCTAATCGGGAGGACCGGGAGAATTCCCGGTGGGCCGGTCTGTTTTTTGGCCGCGAGGGCCGGTGTCCCTAGCTGCTTGCACTCTCAGCAGTCACACTTTTTTCTTCTATTTATTTATTTGACCATAGCTTTACTTTTTTTAATCATTATTTTGCCGTAGTGCCGCTCTTTTTATTTATTTTCTCGCAGCCCCGTGAGAAAAATGCAGCCTGCAGGTTAACTAACGTTAATGATGATGATGTAATGCAACTATCGACCCCAAACAGCGGCACCTTAGTGAATATAAGAATTCGAATAAAATGAATAATACACCTGCTCAATGAAAATCAAATGATTCACTACATTAATAAATCTGACATAACTTGATCAGAAATCTAAAAATAGGAGAAAAAGATTGAGCCATCAAAAGAAAGTAGTGCTGTGTCTTGAGGGTGGCAAGCCATTAGTTATTTTTTACTCTCACTGTAATAGCGCCAATGTGGTCCAGTGGTAAGCACAATACATTTCAGTTTCACAGACCTGTGATCGAACCTCCCATAAAAAATCTTTTTTTTTTTTTTTCGATTTTATTGTTAAGACATAAAATACTGTTAGGGCTGTTGAACATTTGAATTTCTAAAGCAGCAGTTTTCTTGAAAAAAACGTGATAGTGCCATTAGTAACTGAATTGGAATCAGTCGTGAACTGAGGTGGGCCGGTCTGGCTTGAAACTCCAGGGCTGAAAATGAGTCCCACTCCGGCCCTGATTTAAACCTTGTTTGCCTATTCTTATTTTGCTACATAACACTTTTTAGTGAATCTGATCTTTTTAATCCCAGTTTGCTTAAGATCCATCTTACAGCACATAAAAGTAAAATATTATTGACATGTTAGTTAATAATGGTTTAAAGTTTAGTATGTGCAATGCAATTAATGCACACTAGTGTGTGACACCAGCAATTAATGGTGTACTTTCACTTAGGCATGGGATGATAACCGTTTTCAAGGTATTCCGCAGTTTGGAAAAGTCAAGGTTTTATAACCGACAAAATTTTCTGCTATACCGCACCTAAGGTGTGTGTAAGATTGTTTCAAATTTATTTTTTTATTTTTTATCTTTTGCATAACAGTATTTCCAGCAGAAAAGATGTCCAAAGATTAGCGTTTAAACAGTAAAAAATCTGTGTTTTTGAAACTAATGATGGCAGCAGATGTCAATGATTTATTTGTTATTTAGTCCAACCTGTTTACTGCTCCAAAATATTTTAAATGTTTCTCAAAGTGAAGTTTATCCATAAACTAATTTCGAGAGGATCAAGTGATTATGATTGAACACGGCTGGTTCTGCATTAGCATGCATGATCCACCAATCAGGCCATTCCTAACCCACTATAAAGAGCCAGGGTTTTTCACTACAGTCATCTTCGATTTGAAGAATCCCCCTTCCACCCCTACCTCTTCACCTTTCCTTCCATAGGGCGGCACGGTGGCCCAGTGGTGAGGACTGTTGCCTCACAGCAAAAAGGTTTCTAGTCTTTTAACAGGCCGGTGGTCGTTTCTGTGCGTAGTTTGCATGTTCTTCCCGTGCTCGCGTGGGTTTTCCCCAGGTCCTCCGGTTTCCTCCCACATTCCAAAAACATGCACAACAAGTGAATTGATCAATCTAAATTCAGAACTACAGTCAATCTCTCACCCTCCAGCATATCTTTTCATAGCATTAAATTTTTAGTCATCAGTTCTTATCAAGGGGGAGTTGTCGAGATCTACCTGAGCTCATGGCTCCCCTCTCGCCCTGCAAACGGGAGGGAGCCCAGGGCTCAAGGACCTTTTGAGCTCAGGGCTCTCTCCCGGGACAGCAATCCTAACTTGCTTTTAATCAATCATCAGCTAAGTGAACTCTTGAAATAAAATACATTGTGTTCAAAGGGGGAAAAAGTTTTAGTTTTTTTTACCCAGACATTTAAAAAGTATTTATTTCAGAGCAGTAATCACAAAACGTGATACTTTTATCCAAGGTTATCATACCGTCATGCTCATGCCTACTCACACTAGGCACGGTTGTTTTGAACCATGCCCAGGTGTGATTAAGGCCACTTTTGAAATGGAACAGTCCTTTAAATGATGCTTTTTTATGTTTTGGAGCTTGACAGCCTCGTTTTTTCGCTAGATTGTCTTATGTGACCAGATGTTGCCATGGTTTCCAAAAAAATGCTAATTTGTATTCAGCGATTTTTACATTGAGTGTACTTCTTTAAATCAACCTTCTGTTTGCAAAAACATTTCATTCAAATGATCTCTCAGAAAAGGCTTATAACCCATATTGTGAAATTTCTCAGATTTGCAACGCGTCCTTCGCAACACGAGATCGCCTGAGGTCGCACCTGGCGTGTCATGAAGATAAGATACCCTGTCAAGTGTGTGGGAAATATCTCCGGGCTGCCTACATGACTGACCACTTGAAAAAACACAGCGAAGGACCTCATAACTACTGTGGAATATGCAACAAAGGTATTGATTAAATATGCATGGAAAATAATTTTATGAAAACACACAGCAGACCAGGATCGGAGTCGGAGCACTCACTCTGGTCCCCCAGGCTCTGGGATTGGTTGGGGAAATTCCAAATTGAACCAAAACAAATGATTACAATTGGCTTAAGATTGGCAATCAAAATTCGGGACATTGCAACCTGCAGAACCTGGAAAAAAAGTAAGTTCAGGCTATGAGAAATGTATTGGCTTTTATATAAAAGCAGAAAAATGAACAAAAGGCTCAGGTTAGTCAAATCTGTACTGAAAAGGTTTTGTGGCTTGTACTTAAGACTTTTAAGCCATTGCATTTTTTCTTATAATTAAGACTGAGTGTTGTTCTGTTTTATTTGTGTTCCCTACCTGTTGTTCCGATGGTCTCAGGTTTTTCTACTGCATCCTACTTAAAGGTGCACGTAAAAACGCACCACAGCTCGTCCATGCTCCCTTCCTCTGCAGCACATCAGTTCCCTGAACCACGCACCAACAGACCACAGACGCACAACGGCGCCCCCTACCACTCAGGACGCCAGTGCGCAGTGGAAGGCAAGCAAGCCTCTCCCCACAGCGTCAAACTGTTGCTCGCTCACTTGCTGTCTTTTTCACTGCTGCTTATCAGATGCTGCATCTGCTTGCAAAAAACTCACCCGCAAACCCAGATTGTAGCGCTGCGCATCAATCATTTATTGCAACTTTAGTTAGCAGGGAATCAGCGATATGTGTGTTGCTTAAAATTTGGCCTTTCTGATGTATTTTGCACCATCTTTCAGGACTTTTCTTTCGGTGGATGAGAAAGGAATGGCTTTTTGCTGAAAGTATGGGTGGTTATTCAGAGATTACACTATAAATTGTGCAAATGTAGCGATACCCTTAATATGATTGCTGGTGTATTGCACATGTAGAGAGTCCTTGTAGTTTAGCAAGCTTCATTTTTTTTGGATGATTATGGCAGCTCCTAGATTTTAATTGAAATGATATAAGTTTCTTCTTAAAGGCTACATTTAAATTCATTCAAAGTATAAGAAAGAAACTCAAAAACAGTTGAAACAAACTGCATTTCCAGAAGTAGTTGCAGCCCTATAAATCAGCTTTGTCTGCTAGTCACTTACATTTCTGCTGACCAATTTAGCATGGCCACGAGTTCCATTCTGTGTGTCGCTTACTATCATCTCCATCAAGTGCTGGCATAATGACAGTGTTCTCTGATCCTTCATTCATGCATGTCCACATATAAGTGCACATGAACACGCAGTGCATAGTCTCTGTGGATTTAATGGACCTTTTTCAAACAATTATTGCCATAAAATCCAGCAGCTTGTGATTGGGAAATTCCTCATTGCACATGATGGGGAACAATATGGTGTCAGCATTTTTTAAAGAGAACTAATGTCCAAGAATTCATCTGATTCTTTAATGTAGGATAAGTGATTGCTAGAATTTAGAAAATTTTTCCTCTTTTTTTCTTTTTTTTTTTTCTTACATTTTTATCAAGCACTTTATTGGTCTTAACTGCTATGTGGATAGAGTGGGATAGAGAGAAAGTCAATTTATTTTGATCGTATGACACAATTCTTGGCAGTTAATATGGATAAAAATCAATGCAGAAATACTTCAGTAAGACGTCATTAACTTTACATCAGTACAGAATCGTTATAACAGTATCACTGAGCTTCAACTGTATCATTGAGCTGCTGGCTTGGCATGTAATGAAAGAAAAAGATTCATTCATTTAAAATGTACTTTTGTCATTTTGGCTTTAAACAAGCAGTCTTCATAATTTCTGATAGTTTCTGAACTGATGTGAAGCTAATGGTCCTCTGACTGTATTGATTTCGAATTACCCCCCTTGGCCTCTCTGTCTTTTCCTTTATCCACTTCCCTTCTTGGGGCGGTTACTGGCGGTGTAGACCTTTGCACCAGTCGCCGACTCCTGGTTACCTTTCCTGAGACAGAGGGGTCTTTTCGGGGGCTATCTGGGCCAGTTCTACCCCAGCCTGTCCCCCCGGGCCTTCAGCCTGAGCTGCTCATGGGCAAGCCAGGTCCGACTCCCTATTTCTGGGAGTGCCGCTCTTCTGGAGCACCGGGGTTTCCACTTCATGGACCTCTTCCAGGTCAGTACGGCTGTTTGGAGTGTGTGCCAAAGTGTCGAGGATGTCTCAATGCTTTAAGTGATAAGCCTGCTGCAAGTATCTCCAAAGTTGCTTTTTATTGACCTTATTCTACAATGTGGAAGTGCGTTTGATTGTTTTTCTGATTGTTTTAGAACTTCAGATTCAGTTGCCAATGGGAGAAATGACTAGGAATAACAAACACCAGAAAAAGGTCAAACTACTTGTTCTACAAACAAGCAAGTTCATGACTATACATAAACTAGAATAATAAAATAGGAAAATGTCCAGTTTGCAGTATGAAACAGCATAACAAGTTTTTACTTCTAAAAATGAAGTGAGGGAGACTGGAAGTCTCAAGCCAAAAAGATTCCATTGGTTGCATCCGCTCGTACGTGAAGAATAAGGTCAATAAGATTTGTAAGTAAACATTGATCTGATTTCAGTTGGTACTCATTCTTATTAATCGCCTCAACTGTGATTAGCTTTTGGTGGTTCTTTGGGCAACCCGTTTTTCATCCGTTTGCCATATCAGCACCACCTTCCGAACCCCTTTGTCTTTAATAGTTCACACTTTGGAAGAGCTGGATTGGGTTTAATTTTAAGGTCTGAAAATTCCCTTTAAAAAAAGGCAGTTTGAGTTGTATTTATTTTGTTCAAAATAGTTGGTTCAATGGCTGGAAATCAAGGGCTTTAATATTAAACATAGATATTCTCATTTAACCCCAAATAGTTTTTTTTGTCAGCCAAAGATTTAAGCCCTAATGTTTTTCATACTCTCATTCATTTACAGCTAATAATAGTTGGAAATACCTTATATGTAAATATGTAATATGCATTTTTCCTCTCAATAACAAAGTAAACATACAACTAATAACAGCAGTGAATAGCAGCGGTTAGAAAAGGCAAGGCAAGGCAAGTTTATTTATATAGCACATTTCATACACAATGGCAATTCAAAGTGCTTTACATAAACAAGAATAAAAGAAACAAGTAAAATAAAAATAAAAACAAATAATAAAAATGCGTAAAAACAAAACAAAACATAAAAACAGGTAAAATGTGATATAAAAAGGAAAGTGTCTTGTAATAATGTTGTTTGCACACACTCTACAGTTGGCTCTCGAGTCAAGAAAAGACACATTATATTAAATTGTATAGCACTTTATTTTAGTAGATTGCATTAAAGCAAGCAGTTTTAAAGTATTAAAGGTGCAGTATGTAAATTTGACTATCATTGGTTGAACTAGGTATTGCACGCCTGGTTCAAAACACAGGCAACACAGGTTGCCATATTGACGACATCAACAGAAGTGTGCAAAGCAATCGAGCCTAAAGGCTGATTTAAGTCGTGTTCTAAATAAAAGCAGCAGCACACGTTAGAAGGAAAATTTCCCATATTAAAACGAGTCTTTGTTCTAACCAACACCTGAAATTTATATTTTATAAACGCCGTCTATTTCTTGCTGCTGAACAACAAGATAAACTGACAATATTCACCCCAGGTATACTTCATTTGCTTTATTCAGTGTTAAATGCTAGTAATGCAAGTTTGCCATTTTACATGACATTTATTGCCATGCTACTGAAAGCAGCAGCAGATAGTTTACCTCATTAAACCTTAGGACTGTGACTCGGTGTAAACCAACACATATCAGTGATTCAGCACGTACATTTAATAATGTTAAAGAGGTTTAATATGTATTAATTCAATTATAAACCTTGCCATTTCATTGGAGTGCAGTAAGTCCAATAATCTGTGCTTCTAAATGACTGTATTTAAATTTCTGTTTCTACTGCAAAACAGCCCAATTGCTTATCACTTCAAATCTTGTCACGTAGCATGTTGTTAGGACACTGGGTTACAATGTAACCTGCTCACCTATTGTTTACATTTTTGATATTTATGTTATTTGCTAATTAATTACCTCAAGTGGAACTCTAAATCTGCGTCTCATTTCGGAGGTCCTCTGCTGCTGTCCTCTTCAGGTCGCATTTCGGTCATGGACTCATACTTTCTGACTGAATGAATGAAATATGCAGTTTTCCAACAAGGCAATTCAGTGTGCTAAAATATAATTGGCTAAACAGGCATTGGGTGGGTTAAAAGAACCAAAACAAAGACAGCCATTCCTGCACATAACGCACATTTTCAAAGCAGAATGACTGACTTTATCATTGATTTTCAGACAAAGACAAAATGTTCTCTTAGCATGTTTCTTAAATAACTGCAAACATATGGTGTTTTAATGCTTTAGAAGAGTGAAAAACTTACATGCAGCACCTTTAAAAACTGAGATCTCAGTGCTGCTTTCAATTGTAATTACATTTCAATTTATACTATAAAACAGCTTTTCAGTGTTTATATTTTTACAGATCTCGACGAACTAAACAAAGATTTACGAGGCTTCCATGTCAAAGAAAGCCCCACCTGAATATTACATAATCACACACAAACCTAATGGTAGTTCATGTTTACCAGTCTTTTTTGGAAAATTTGCTTTGGCAAGCTGTTTGGAACCCCTGACGAATCTTTTGGCCTGATTTTGTTCAAAATTGTCACCCCAGTTTATTCCTTAATTTTGTCGGACTTATATCAGTGCCTTTATGCCACATGCTCTGACGCATCACTGTATAGGTTGTATCATGGAGAACTACTGTTCATGTTCTGGGTAAATTGCATTAACATATATGTGGAGGAAGGCGTACACAAATAATTCAAACCAAGTGAGGGCATTTCATGATTGTTTATTGGCATGGAAAAAGTGTGTATGTTTTGGTGAAGTCTCACAGCTTATTAATGAATAGTTCACCCAAAAATGAAAAATGAAACTGTCATCACATCATCATCATATTATTTTTGAGCTTTTTTATTTTTTATTTATGGAGAAGCATTTTGTCCCAACAATGGATGTCGTAGGAGTCCAGTGATTGTTTTAAGTTTTTCCATATACTCTTTGTACACAAGTTTGAAAAGAGATGAGATCGAGTAAAATAATAATAATATATATTTAAAAAATTAATCTTAAGAACAAAAGGAATTTGGCCTTCGGTTAAGTGCCACTGCTTTATGTTGTGTTCACACCAGATGCGGATGAAGCATCACGCACAAGTGATTTACATTTTAAGTCGATGCAAAATCGTGAATAGACAACCTGCAATGCGATTCACATGAATAGGGTGGCCCGAATGACGCGATTCTTACGAACTAAAGGTTTGATTCGGTTAATGTGTGAGTTGCTCAAGTTGGATAATCTGAACTTCAGCAGACATTCATGAGATTTTTTATTATTATTTTGCAAAAAAGAACATTTAGAAAGATGCAATATGAACAAAGTGGCAAAAAGGGTTACATAAGATTCCAGCAATTTAAACAAGTTTAAATGATTTACACCAAGAAAGAGCAATATAATTGTTAGTCTTTTAAGGAGTTCACATATTAAAAAAAAAATCCTTTCTGAAAATAAAAAAGGGTGTTTCTTTGAATATTTACATTTTATGAATGTAAAATTTAGCCAGAAAAAGCAAAAAAATTCATAATAAATGTATAATGAGAAGGATCTAAGTTCAGAGAGTAACCAAAAATTAGAATTTTTGGGCATATATAAAAGTTTAGAAACAAGAATTTTTCTATGAAATTGGAAGAGTCAACCCAAAACACTTTACAGAAAGTGCACTCCAAAAATAAATTTAGCGTTTCATCATATCGAGTACAAAATGAGCATGTAGGGGAAATATTGTTATTAAATTAAGCTAGTTTGGTATTTATTGGGTAGCAATTATGAATGATGGGCGACGCAGTGGCGCAGTAGTTAGTGCTGTCGCCACACAGCAAGAAGGTTGCTGGTTCGCTGGGTTTCCCCCACAGTCCAAAGACATGCGATACAGGTGAATTAGGTAAGCTAAAAGTGTGTGTGCGTGTGTGCGTGTGTGCGTGCGTGCGTGTGTGTGTGTGCGTGCGCGTGTTTCTCAGAGATGGGTCGCAGCTGGAAGGGCATCCGCTGCGTAAAAAAAGTGCTGGATAAGTTGGCGGTTCATTCCGCTATGGCAACCTCTTTTTAATAAAGGGACTAAGCCGACAAGAAAATTAATTCTGAATGATTTTGATTGAGACTTCGAAAAAAGTCTTTTTATCTTAATAAAGCTGTCAAAGAAGCCAAAACAGCAGGTAAAGAGATCCGAGAACTATTATTACTATCAGTACCGCTGAAAGCCTCCATCATCTAGGTATAGTTTATGGAGGAGTTGATAACCTCACAGAGCTGGATGCGCCTATGAAAAATCTAGTGGACTCAGACACGGTGCTGAATGAATCTACACTGTTTTTCAGCCATTTAGCAACAAAGTTAGAGTCACCAGACAGACAGAAGCCCTGCCCATGACATGAATCCGCATCTATTGTGAAATGAATTTTGAAACGCGAATAAACAAAATGTTCATGCACGCATGCTGCCAAAGTCCTATAAAGGTAAGTCATTTCACTCGGTGGCCATCTTTGAAACGCCTCTCGGGTAGTGTGCTTGGGCATTCTGTTTGAATAAGGAAACGTCAAAATCTCCAAAACTGCTTGCCAAGCTTATGATTGAATTTCATATAAGGAATCCTCAATAAAATCTAACATCAACTGTCTCATTAGTTTAATTTCTAAATGTCAGAATCGCACAAAATCTGCAGAAACTTCTCACCCTGGGCTTTATTTGTATTTATATAGCATCAATGATTGGCTCCTGTACTCAAGGGGGGCTTTATTTGCCATATTGACTTTTACACTTTTCCCCATTCAAAACTGAATGAAGACATGTCTTGCATATTTCATAGTCTTTGATGCGGCTTCTGGTGTGAACACAGCATTAGGGGCTTGACGCACTCAGTGGACAAAGTTCATTATTAAGATATTATTTTTTACCGTAACATTGTGTGCAATAGGATGAAATATATCTCTTTGTTACAGTATTAAAAAGAGCAAATTCAAAAAAAATTGTCAAACTTCAATACAATGAGCCATAAATGTTAATTTTTTTCATGCTTTTGTTATCAAACAAGTTCACACAAGTAGAAATATTAGTTTTATTACTTTATATACTTAACGTGAGGTTCCTTTTCTCTTCCTGTATTTCTCTCTGCCCCCTCCTTCCCTGATGTCCCCTTCCCCACTCTGTGTTTACCTCAGACGGGCAGGAGAATGCTGGGAAATGTCCTCATCAGGATTCTGACGGTTCAGATGCAGTTTTCGGTGACCTTTCCAACGGAATGGATCTCAAGGCTGAACATAAAGTTGAGGGAGAAGAAATGGAGGTGACATCCTTCATCTTCAACGGCCAACCTGATGACGCAGTGACCTCACCAGAGGGCTCCAAAAACATCCCAACAACAGACCAGGAAAAGAAGTTCGCCTGTGGCGAATGCGGTCAGGCTTTCCGCACAAAGTCTTACCTCAACAAGCACCATCACCGTGTCCATAAGAAACGTGCTGCGGCTGCCTCCAGTCTTGGAGACCTCGCCTCACCCTTTTCCCCCCAACAGAATATGTCACTTCTTGAATCCTTTGGCTTTCAGATCGTCCAGTCGGCCTTTGCCTCCTCACTTGTGGACTCTGAGATTGGCAGCAGTGGAATGGGTTTAGGGGAGAAATGACCCTTTTGAGAGGCATAACCAAACTTTTATAACTGCGAGTTTAATCTGTTGTCTCATACTCCTTGACGCCATATGTAGACTACTTTTGTTTTGTTCAATGTTTTTAATTAGTATGATGTTTGTTAATGTTTTGACTTTGCCATCATGAGCTATGTTTCCATCTAAACATAAATCTTATGCGCAGAACTGGAATATAGGCATAAAACATTAACAAATAAAACACCGTTTCCTTCAAATGAGTCTAAGAAGACAACAATCGTCACATTCTGATGAACTGAATGCAAATATTAGAAAGAAAAATGGATTTTTGAAAAATAAATAATTACTTGCGCCTTAGAAGCTGACACACAATGAAGGTGAGGGGTGCAAGACCGCTTTTTGATGGACAGGGATTTTTTTTTTTTTGATGTTTTACAATTTGCAATGTGTCAAATTGCACCCATTCTTATTATCGCATGATCTTTTATAACAAAATCCCCTGACATTTTTGATGCTCATAATGGAATTTATGTAGTAAATGTGTCTCCATTATAGTTTATACAATTTATTTTGGGAAAAAAACTTTTATTTCACTCAGTTATGCGCATATGTTTATGTACATTTTTAAAATGTATGCACATCTTGACATTTCCATCTAGAAATTTCAATTTGATATTTCAAAATCTGCGTGAAAATGGCTGGATGGAAACATAGCTGTTTTGATTCCATTGTGGTGTGAAGCAGCTAATTAGTTTATTCCACATTTGACAAGTCCTCCACCTCTGACATGTATGTTTATTATCACGTGTGTCTGCTTCCGGATTCATGGGTTGAGGATGATGTTTGATGTAAAAGACAAACCAATGCCCTAAATATGTTCCGAATGTATACCTCTAGGTTGTTTTTGTCCAGGCAGTGTCCATGTCCACACATCGAGTACCTCACAGAGAACGTAACATTAAGGAGCATTTCAATTTTAATGCTAAAAACAAGTTTTCACCATCAGAAAACAAAGCTGGAGTCATTAGAACTGTTTTGTAGTCCAATGACTACTGAAGCTGTAGACTACTGATGTAAACGAAGGTCGCTTTATCTCACAATTCTCACTTTTCTCTCAACTGTGGGTTTATATAGCACATTTCAGTTTTCCCCTCATACCACAGAGAAAAAAAATCTAGGTATATGATTAAATCACTCAGTTGCAAGTTAATAAACCTTTCTGGGATTATATTACAATTCCATTTTTTTTTTCAAGATTAAAGATGTAAAAAAATTAAAAGTCCAAAATTTGTAGAAATAAAGTTCTGAGGGGAAATTAAATTTTTCCAACTTGGCTATTGGGAGGTTTAAACTCAGAGTTTTTTTTTTAAGAAAAGATTAATTTTAAGATCTAAACTTGCAGTTCTTGCAAAAAAAAAAGTATGAAATCTATTTTTTTTTTTTTTGAAGATTAAAAGATGTTAAATGTTGAAAAGTCCAAAAATTCAAGGTATAAAGTTCTGAGGGGAAAGGAAAGTTTTCCAGTTTGGCTTTTGTAAGTTTAAAATTAATCATTTTTTTCTGAACATTCGAAGTTTAAACCTCACAATAGCCAAGTTGTAAAACTTTCTTTTTCCTCAGAACTTTATACCTTGACTTTATAACTATGAACACACCTTTTAATCTTGTAAAGAATTAATTCATTCTTGCAACTGCATGTTTTCCAACTTGACTATGGTGAGGTTTAAACTCAGAATTTTCAGAAGAAATTAATAATTTTAAGATCTAAGCTTGAAGTTCTTGCAGAAAAAAGTTTTCTTAGTTGTACTGTTATAATTATATTTGTTTTTATTTTATTTTTTATTTATTTTTTATTAAAGATATGTTAAAAATTTTAAAGTCCAAAAATTCAAGATATAAATTTATGAGGGGAAAGGAAAGTTTTCCATCTTGGCTGTTGTGAGGTTAAAATTCAGAATTTTTTAGCAGAAATGATTAATTTCAAGATCTAAATTTGCAGTTCAAAGGATTAATTAATTTTATTGTTTTTTTTTTTTTAAGATAAAAAGTTGTGTTAAGTTGAAAAGTCCAAAAAGCCAATATATAAAGTTGTGAGGGGAAAGCAAAGTTTTTTTCAACTTGGCTATTGTGAGGTTTACACTACAAATTTTCAGAAGAAATTATACATTTTAAGATCTAAACTTGCAGTTCTTGCTGGAAAAAAAAAATAATTCTGTAGTTTTTTTTATGATTAAAGGATGTGTTAAATGTTGAAAAGTCCAAATTTCTGTTGAAAATTCTGAGTTTAAGATCTAAACATGCTGTTCTTGCAGAAAAAGGTATGAATTAATTATATTGTTTGTTTTTTTTTAGATTAAAAGACGTGTTATGTTGAAAAGTCCAAATATTCAAGATATCAAGTTTAAGGGGAAGGAAAATTTTCCAACTTGGCCGTTATGAGGTTGAAGTTTGAGAAGAAATGATTAATTTTAAGATCTAAACATGCAAGAAAAAAGTATGAATTGTGAGGAAAAAAATTGAAATCATTTTCTTATTTTTGTTACTCTGGAAAAAAACAAGCTTCCATATATGACACAAAACCTACATCACCTACTTCAACATTTTAGTATGAAATACTTTCGTCAGTTATTTAAATGAAATCCTTCAAAACTTAAGGCCAAACGATGGCTGTGATCTCAGTAATATTTTGTGCTTTGTTTGTCTTGGATAGTACTGAAACAGATTGCTTTTGGTCACGAGATGTGTGTCTGTTTTTAACGTCCAACAGGGACCAAATTCAGGTTTCACTGTAAGATATAGCAAGAAGCAAAGAATATATTTTATTAACTTATTGATACCAGTGTCCAAGTCTCCTTTACAAAAAGGTATATATATTGAGTTGTTGCAACATGCTTTTTTTTTCCTTTTTAAATCATGCAGCCGACAGGAGGAGAGCGTGAGTGTGATGACGTGTGTTTGTGTAACACGAGTGTATGCTGCGATCTCTCTGATGTCCTTTATCTCTAGAATGTAATATAAACAGAGGGCTTTGTAATCTTTTCTTTTCTTAAATATACCAGAGTTTTTCTAAGTGGTTCAATACATTCCTGCTTAACTTAAATTCTTGTCACTATACATGACGTATAACATTCATATATATATATATATATAAAGCAAATATGTATATATGTATGGCCAATTATGTTAGTTTTTGTGAACGGGATCCTTGTAAATAGATATTTTTCTGGGCTTTGAATGAACGAATGGACGTTTTTATGCTTTAAATACTTGTTTTAAGTGGATAATGACACATCCACACTTTTGTTGTGTCTTGATTATTATTATGCAAGTAATTGAGTGTGTGTTTGGTGTTAGCCTGTTCCTCTGAATGCAGTGTTAATGCTGGTTATATTTCCCTTTACTTTACCCTGCAGGTTATTTGTATAGTCTCCCATCAACTTATATGTATTTGGAAGGGCAGTTTGTCATTCATGATGGAAGCTGTCAGTGAATTTCCTTTCTGTTAACATGTAAAATCTAAAGCAGGCTGATCTGAGCAGTGGACTATGCCGAGTATGCTCACTTATTTGACTAATCATTGCTAATTTAACATGTTTTAATTGAAATATTATTCTTTTAATAGTAACAATCATCATCTGCCTGGCATCATAGTGTGATCTGAATATTTGCAGCCCTTATTTATTTACCAATTAAAAATGGTTTGATTTTTTTTTCCTATTATTATTATTATTAATGTTATTCTATGTTTGTCTAGTAAGGTGTTCTGGCTTATTACATCACTGGAAACGTTTTTTTTTCTAGCTTATATATTCAATTACTTGTATGTTGCAAAGTGCCTTCCCAGTACTGATTGTGAACAGCGATGGGTAGGAAAAATCTGTCATTTAAAGGACCTATCTTTAAAAAGAACCCATATACAAACAGAGTTGCATTGACACTTTTGTATAAAGACATGCACATAGAGAAGTGTACATTTGTACATGTTTGGTATTCTACCTTTTTTTGTTTGTTTGTTTTCTGACAAAATGTTGTTTCTCTGCAATTTATGTCACGGCGTTGATCAATTTTTGGACATTTGGATATAAGCATACTTTTCTATTGATGTTTGTTTTTGTACACTGTTTTTCGTGTCTCTGTCTATTTGGCACAGAGATGGGTATAAAATAAAACTGTATTTGAGAATTTTCTTCCTGGCGGTCATCACTTCAGAACACACGATGGTGTTATTTCTAGGTGTTTTGTCGTAATAACAAATTGACTTTGGCAACTTTGCCAGCTAAAAAATAGTTTAGCTTCTTAGTAATTCATGCATTAATGATTATGACTGGTGAAACTTCCAGATACAACAGGTTTTACAATATACAAGACAGAATTTCATTACAAGGACAACAATTGTTATAGGGTAACACTTTAAATTTGTAAATATGTGCTTATTAGGGTCATACTTGCAGAAAGACTCGTTTAGTTGGATTAAAAATAGTGAAAATTAACTAGTTAGCGCAGCAGTGTACACCAGGGTTGAAGTTCACTATACAGTAATATTAAGGAATAAATAAACATAAAAAAGTGTGTTTGAACTAAACAGTTTGCTTAAATGATTTGGATTTGATCCAACAAGAGCCAAAAGAACATCTGAAACACTTTGGATTTAATCTCTAAACATCTCCTAAAGTAACCGTTAGAAGCGAGTTTGCGGAATAGTACATGCTAATAGTTGAAAAACCAAAGAAGCACAGAAGTAATTTGGTTTACTCAAATGAAGATCTCAGTTTGTTATATTTTGACATCACTTTCTCTAAATTCTTTAGCTCATTAATGCCCTCTTTTGAAATCATGGTGTCATTACAACAATCTTTTGAAAGTATTTAAATCATTGAGACAGGGAACATTTAAAGTACAAACCACATTGGTAATAAATAACACGTGACATCAGATTTGTAAAGCATTTCCTGTTCAAAAAAATAGATAGAGTTAATTCCATTGAAGAAAAAAATAGCTTTTGCACTTTAAAATTATACACTACAACATCTGATATTTTTAGGTTCAGCTAAATAGGACAAACTGGCTTTTGTCTTTGTAAAAATGGGGCCATTATAATTGGTATAATCGTAATATTAACAAAATTGTTACTGCTCAAATTCAGGATCCAAGCACAGAGAAAAACTGACATGTTGTGCCAGAGCTCTCACATTATGGAAGGCAATCGGGGCCAAAAGTCTCAAAATCAAAATTTCAAAGTGCAGATTTTTAGCTTACAATATTTTTTGTGAGTTCAAAAATCAATTCTTGTAAATAAATCCATAGAATAAATGTTTATATATTGCTTTAGTAATCAAAAAAGAAAGAAAAGAAATTAGCTTCAGTTCTATAATTGTAAAGCTATCTCAGAGCAATTTGTAACTTTTTGATCCAGTATCTAATTCGTATGATCTCATTTGTGCAAATTTAGTACAATTTGCTCATCCGCCAATGACAGCTGTGTTTTGGAGTGTAGTTTGGTGCCACGCCTCCTTTTAGAAATTGTTCATCTTCGTACGACTGAACTTGTATGAATTCATACAAATTATTACAAAACGTTTCCTTGTGAGAAAAAAATAAAGTTATTACGCATATCCGCTCTTCTAAAAACTATTAGTTTGCCATGAGCTAAAATAAACATCTGCCTTTTATTCTGCTTCAGCTGGAAAACATCACGATACAAAAGTTGAAATGAACTTCAGACTCATTCAGACTTTAAATAAAACACATGATGTACATGTCCTATCCATCTAAAAACTTAGCAGGCAATGAAATTGTATTAGAGACTATATTTGTATTAGGGATATATGTTCACATCATTTGTCAGCTTCCATAAGAAACACTGCCTCAACATGGTCAAACTGAGAAACTTGTTGACATTTGCTGCTTTCACGGTCCAACTGAGTTCGCTGTGAAGCAAAACACATATAATTTCATATGTATTTATGAATATTAATAAGTTCAATGGGCCTACTTTATATTATGAGCTTAGTGTTTTCCCTCTTCAGAGTAAAACTGGAATGATACAGTATGATTGTCATTGCTTTTTCTGTATGCCAAATGATTTGATTTCCTCAGGAACTACCAAGCCAGGTCAGAGGTCATGGAGGCTTCTTGAGTGGAACTGGACGTTTGATGCTACTTTGAATTTTGCTGTGTGAAAGAATGAATACTTTTTAATGATTCTGTTATAAGAGAAGCTGTCTCTGTGTACGCCTCCTATATGTTTATTTTACTATTATGATAAGAAGCCTTCTAGAGAATGGAACAGCCTTGAAGTAGATAAGTATTGTGTATGTGTGTGTGTTCTTCATCAGTGGAGACATGAAGATGAGCTGAATTTTATTTCTGATTATCCTGACCACAGAGATATCCTCCTGTTATGTCTGACCTTCATATGCTAAAGTTATCATCGGGAGATATTGTTTGGAATTACGTCAGACAAGTGGAAACATTCTAATCTCTATCTGTGTTCTAACCAATCAGGTTAAACACTTATATGTATGATGCAGTTAGTGGTGCATATTATAGTATATTGTTGTCGTTTTGAGATTGTAAGCAGAGCAGCCTATGAACTCTATGTAAGTGTTGAAGCTGGCATCTGCTGATAAAACTGCAAACTATGTTAAGTAAACTTTCTTTAACTGAATCTCTGACTTCTTTATCTGACAGAGTGATCATTTTTGGGTTACAACCAGGGCTTTACATTAACACCCGCCAATCCACCAAATGTGGGTAGATTTCAGCTTTGGCGAGTGATACAACAGCCGCTCCCACTAGCCACTTTGGCAGGTTGGAAATAATTTTTACATTGTAAGTTAGTTTTCTTAAAGCAGGGTTCGAAAATAAGGATGGCCCAATATGCGTGCAAATGTGATCTTAGAATCGAGAAGCAGCAAGACTGACAAAAATAACTACCTTATGAGAGGATGATTACTCGTGCGGTTACTTGCGCGAAACAACCGTGTGTAGAGGAAGCGCAACTGCTGCGATCGGTTCTCTTTGAATTAGACTAGACAAAAAGCGATGCTCGTGTAAGCAGCAAACCTTTTGTAAGCAGCAGCTTATCTGGGACCTTTAGCCAGGACAGATTACTATGCATTTTTTAGATACATAACAATAGATGTTTTTAAATGTCAATAAGAAGTGCATGTATACAGCTATATATTTGCTTGTTTTGACACATTTAAAATGTGTGGCTAAGAAATAATTATTTCTTTTTAGTGGGGTCAGAGATCAATTTGGTAAATCCTTAATTTTGAGCCCTAAAAAAGTCATAAGAAATAAAAACCTATTGCAATGCAACACAACACAACATCTAAATCAAGTCATTTTAGCATGTCAATGTCACATTTATTAATGCAAAATATATTTTCCAAGCAACAAAATTGTGGCTAGTGAAAATGGCAAGTTGAAAGTAATGTTGGAAATCTACTAGCCACAGTGGCTGGTGATCAAAAAAGTTAATTTCAAGCCCTGGTTACAACTGTTGGTTCCTTGACATCCCAGACACAATCAGATTTTATGTTTTGTTTAAAAACTTTTGGCCCTGATTGCCTTCCATATTACAGTTTGTTAAAATTAGCCAATAAAGCAAGTTTCTTTGCGATATATAAATAAATCACATTTTGTGACTGTTGCAAATAAATTGGCTACACAGTCAAAAATTACATTTGCTTTTTGTTCAAACTATTTATAATTAGCTGAAACAACACAACTCATCATTTTCATAGGGGACAACTAATCGTTTTATGTTCAATCCACTTAAATTCATAAAAAAAAACTTCTTTCTGACCCAACGCAAACGGATTGTGTGGAACCCAACATTTTTTACAATGTAGTTAAAATGTGACAAAAGATGAAATAAAGATTAACACATTGTTGAATATGTATCCGTTATTTGCATGAGATAGCATAAACACTAAAACTTGAACTCATAATAAACACACAAACACACTCATCATAATGTTATGTGTAAATACACAGTCATCTGCACTTCTATTGAAGCATTTTAATCGTCTAACTGTTGGTACTTCCACTGAAGTGTTTACTGGCTTACTTTTGTGCTAAAGTGTTTAATTATTTAAAGTCTAAATTGTTGCTTTACCAAACCAGTAGCACAGTCCACCAGTTTCTTTTGTGTTTTAGAAAAACATATTAAAAAGAATTCAACAAAGTCCTATTTTACGCCATTGTATTCAAGGTTCAAATTACAAACCAATTAAAAATTTGTTCCACAACTCCACAAATAGTCATTTCTGAATCTCAGTTTTTTTTAACAATAATAACAATATACACTACTTGACAAAAGTCAACAAATAATAACTTGACTTCTAGTTGATCATTTGATATCAGAAGTGGCTTATATGAAAGGCAAAAGCCTCTAGATTATGCTTTCTTTTACCAAAATAAAATAAAATATGATCATGCCTTTTAATTATTTAATTAGGACAGTAAGATCTGACTTTACTGACTTCAAATTTTGTCACTTAACAGAATGTACAGTGTAGAAAATAAAGTCATGGTGCAGTTGAAAACTTATTAATATTATGTTTTTGCCAGAGTTCATCAAGATTCTTTGGATTCGTCTTCAATGCCTCCTCCTTCATCTTACCTCAGACATGTTCAATAATGTTTACAACTGGTGACTGGGATGGCCAATCCTGGCCCACCTTGATCTTCTTTGCTTTCAGAAACTTTGATGTGGAGGCTGAAGTATGAGAAGGAGTGCTATCCTGCTAAAGAATTTGTCCCCTTCTGTGGTCTGTAATGTAACAGGCAGCACAAATGTCTTGATACCTCAGGCTGTTGATGTTACCATCCACTCTGCAGATCTCTCGCACACCACTATACTGAATGTAACCCCAAACCATGACTTTTCATACACCAAACTTGACTGATTTCTGTGAGAATCTTGGGTTCATGTGGGTTCCAATAGGTCTTCTGCAGTATTTGTGATGATTGAGATGCTGTTCAACAGATAATTCATCTGAAAAAACCTTCTGCCACTTTTCCAGTTTTCTAGTTATTATTTGTTGTTCTTACAACTGGTTGGAGATACAAGTTTCCATTCATTTAAAACATTATTAGTATGGCCGCAATGTCTGTGTGCATTTGTTTGTGTGTGTAAAATGTCATATTACTCAGGCATTACATAGATATTTCAAGTAGATGGTGAATTATGAGGACATTGCTGATGTCCCCATTTCTCAGAAAGCTTATAAATGACACAGAAGGAGTTTTATTTCTGCTTCAGATATTAAAACTGTACACAGTTTCCTGTGAGGGTTGGGTTAAGGGATAGGGAAGATGTAGAGCAATAAATACAGTTTTTAAGGTATAAAAATTATGGAAACCTATGGAATGTCCCAACAATTCACACAAAAAACCCTGTGCTGTCTGTGTGTGTCAACAAACCTTTTAGGAGTATAGCATTATTTCTTTATAGGGCTCTCATTAAAGTACCCAAACGCTGGAGTGTCACGAGGGGTTATCACCAGAACTTTGAACTGTTATAACTTTAAAAAAGATTTTATTTTTCAGGATATATATTGTAATCAATTTCAGTGAAGTTACCTGATAAAGGGTTAAAGGTTTTATTATATTTTATGACAACTTCAATAAAACATGATGTTCTGGAAATAAAGGTTAACATCTGTATGCCCCTTTAAGACAGAGCACACTTTAAGTGTATTTGCCAATTTGTGCAACTAAATCTTTACAGAATTAGCGACAATAGATTTAGCTCTGTTAATCTGTTCCCAACACCAGCCAGAACTACGTGTTTTCTGTAAACTAAAGCTCTCTGTTACCATAGAAAAGCATCAGGGGTTTAGTTGCTGAGTCACACTGACCTTTAGCAGAAACATTCAGCTGAAATCTAATAACTGCACACCCTCAAAGACAACTTACCTAAGTGTTGTCTAAACTCATCTCCTGTATCAGACGTGCTAACAAAACTGCAGAGATTTAGTTTCTCTCCTGATGACAATCATGATAAAGGGAACCTCTTTTCTTTTGTGTCAGTACAACATGAAGACATTGAGTCATCTTATTAGTTTTTACAAAAATATATGTGGCTTGAATAAAAAAGTCAACATAGGCTCATTCTGAAAACGTAGCTCTGTATACATTTCTGGAGATCATGAATTATGGAGCCAGAGCTACGAATGGCTGCATTTCATCTTTAAAATGAACGCTACGGGGCGATATGGTGCCGTTTCTTTTTCTCGCTTAACAGAATGAATGAATGGCTTTTCCGCTGTTACAAGTTTGCCTGGTAGCTCGACATGTACGTCAGCAGACTTAAGACACAGAGCTGACCACAACAATGGGGTTCGAGTCCAGTAAAGAAAGGTTCCAGAAAGCATGTAAGACATAAAGAAAGACTAAAAAATAAAAAGCAACGTGGTGGTGCAGTAGGTTGTGCTGTCGCCTCACAGCAAGAAGGTCACTGGTTCAAGCTGGAGTTTCTGTGTGGAGTTTGCATGTTCGAGTGGGTTTTTTCCGGGTGGTCCGGTTTCCCTCACAAGTCCAAAGACATGCGGTACAGGTGAATTGGGTAAGCTAAAGTTGTCTGTAGTGTATGTCTCTGAATGAGAGAGTGTGATTTCCCAGTGATGGGTTGCAGCTGGAAGGGCTAAGGGATAAGTTGGCAGTTCATTACGCTGTGGCGACCACAGATTAATAAAGGAACTAGGCTGAAAAGAAATTTTTTTAAAATAATGAATGAATAAAAAATAAAATAAACAAGTAAATTACAGGGTGAGAATGTGGTAAAATTTGAAAACATGGTAAAAATTAGGGGCTTCTTTCTGGATTGCTTTTTAAAACACTATTGGTTGAGTTTAGACAGGGCATAATTTGTGCCGGAGCAAGCCGAATCTTAATCCCAGCAACTCATTTTGCCGATCCCCCTCCTCACACGAACACTCCCCCTCCCTGCTCTTCACTTTCTTTGACGACACCCCAAATCTAAACAATTTTGTCCACGATACCCCCCCCACCCCAGCTGTTCACATTAGTCCGTGACACCCCCCCACTCTTCACTATCGTCCACAAGACAAATCCCCCGCCACCGCTTTTCACTTTCATCTGCAACACCTCTCCTTCCTCTGTTAACATGCCAGATCTATTACCTCGACCTGTTCCGGGACCACGCAATTTACAAATTAAGCAGAGAAATTTGAGAGAAATTTGAGATCTGAAAAGCATACACAGCGCCCACTGTTGGGTTTGCAAAGAAAACGGCAAAAAGATTTACCTCCAGGGGCGTATTTTGCTCTCTCCAGAAATGTATATAGGGGTATGTAATCAGAATGAGCCTGGGTTACAAAAAATTGTCCCAAAAAAAAAAAACTCAAAAATTGGGACATTTCAGCTCATTTCATATAAGTGATTTGAACAAAAAGCAAAGATCATTTGAGTGTGAGATCTACACCATGGTAAGAATAAAAGTAATGCATGATTAATGGATGAATTAAATGTGCAAAGCAAACTGGTCTACCTATGCAGAAAATAATATTTAATCTACAAGTCAAAAAGAGCACAACAGGAGGACAAGGTTTGTCCAAATTCACATACAGTGGAAATCACTACAATTAGAATTTTTTCAATATACAATAGCTTAAACATCGGTATTATCCGTTAATGAATTTTGGATGTAATTTGGATTGTTGTCAATATCATGTGACCTGCCAGTGTCCGTTGTGTTGGTTCACTACCAATTGGCCCCATGGCCCCCATCAAATGCACCCTTCAGAATATCAGCAGAAGAAGTATGTCATTTTGGTATAGTTTTTGAAATTCTGTGAATTCATACTTGGCTCATTTTGTTCACATACTATTTATTTATATTTTTTAAACAGGAAAAGATTAAATAGTAATCGGGCCTGACTCAGAACATAAAAACATACAGACACCCTTACCATCTCATCCATCAACACATGAGAACAGTATAAACAATCACCAAACACACTAAATAAAGAGAAACAGGCTACTATCTCAGTGGCTACAGGGATAGTTGATCATCAGATGACGAGTATGGGATTTTTTTTTAAACAGCTTCTGCGTTGGTATTGTTTATAGATGTTGTTAGATCTCATTCCAGGCTTTCGTGAATACAAAAAAGAAAGATCTCTGTCCATAACAGTTTTTAAAAGCCGGCAATGGCAAACATCTATTTGTTAGACATCTGCACTCTCAGAAATAAAGGTGCGTGAGCTGTCACTGGGGTGGTACCTTTTCAAAAGGTACACATTTGTACCTAAAGGGTCCATACTGGTACCTCAAAGGCTTATAGTACCTACAAATTCTAAGAGGAACACTTTTGTTCTTTTTAGGTACTAACATGTACTTTTGAGGTATTAGTAGGGCCCTTTAGGTACAAATTTGTACCTTTTAAAAAGATCACATACCTCTATTTCTGAGAGTGTAGTGGAATGATCGGTCCTTGTATAATTTTGTACCAAAGCACAAAGCTCTGCTAAGGTAGCCCTATTTAAAATTTGATAGTACAGTTTAATCGCTGTGTTCATAATGTTATTTTGAAATGGTGGAGCATTAGAGAGTGACAGAGCAAAACAATGATGTGTCCATCCAGAAAGTCTATTGTGGATCTTATAGGCCCTATTGTACAGTCTTTGCAGACACAGTAAAGATGTAAACAGTGGGATGAAGACCAATTAATGCCGAGTTCAGACTGCATGATTTTGACTCACCGACAGACTTTGAGAAATTGCCGACAAACGCATGGAATCACACGCAAATCAGTGTTTGTTCACACAACGTAAACTAACAAAGATGCGATCTGAGAGAATCACCGATAAGTCGCTGCCCCCCGTCAGATATTTTGTGTGCTTAATATCTGGAACTGTCTGCGATATAAAATCATGCTGTGTGAAATGTGTTTTTAATTGGAAATAGCATCAGCGATTAGCTACAGCCAATGAGAGAGCAGCATCCTCTAGTATGGGTATCTACAGGCCAGTGGGAGGTTGGGGGTGAAGTTAAAAGAGAAGACAGCTTATTTTCAGTTTATCTGGACCCAAGAAATCAAGGAAAAACGAGTGGAAATTTGGCAGCAGCACCTGTGTCTTTTTGAGAGAAATTGCTAATTCTCTTTAAAAGCAAGGTTACCAAATTAAGTACATTTTCTACCCCACTGAAGGCTTCTTATAAAGTGGTTAATAACAAAAGAAATACTACATGACCTCCCATTTTTTTTTACATATGACTTCTCGCTTGTGTTTGGTTGTGAGGCGTAGTTTGTGGACTAAGACAGCGTTGTTGGCAATTCTCCTAAAGTCATGCAGTGTGAAATCCCCTGTCGCCGATCCATCTTGTAGTGTAAACGCAGCAGTGGCGGAATGCTACCCCAGATAGTCATGCTGTGTGAAAACATCTGCGACATGACTACTTTGAAAATTGTGCAGTATAAACTCGGCATATAGATGTTTCCATAAAAATGCTTTTTTTACCGCGGCTCACCGCATTTTCTGTCACGGCATAGCCATGGTATGCCGTAAAAGTCTCCTTGGAATTCAAATAAATGTGTTCACAGAACATCCATCAGGTGGCGCATTGAACAAAAACAACAAACTATAAGGCAAATGTTTAACCCAGTGGCATCATAACCGTCAGGTTGACCTTTTGTCCATGGGTTGTGATTAAAACACAAAACCCTAAATTTGCTTAGGGTGCTATCAGGATTATCATAGTTTAACCTAAAAATTGGTCAAAGTTTTTTTAAGTGGAAGTTAAAGGTTTAAAATGATTGTACTAAAATATATATTTATTGTTGAGAATATTTAGCAGTCTATAAGGCAGTGGAGTGAAGGATTTCCCCAAGTTTATATTGAGCTTTTGAAGCTTCTAAATCCATTTTCCTGTGTCCACGGTAGTTGAGCTTGTAAAACTCTTTAGTGATCATGGGTAGGGTCTTTCCCTTGGTTTCGGGTAGAACCATGTGAATATATGTAGCAGTCACGAGGCATACAGTGCCAAACGGCACAAAGCAGTACTGTCCTAAACCACTCTGCAAAAACAAAAGCAGAGAAGATTCAGTAGAAGAAAATAAAATATCCAAAAATCCATTAAGCATCAATAGTTTACTTAATAATTAGATGTTAAAGTCTTCATATTATGCTTTTTTAAAAAATATTACTTTACATGTAGTGTGTAACATAGCGATTTATAATCTAAAAGGTCAGTCTGTCAAGTTTTATTTTTGTTTACTGTACAGACAGGTTTTGTTCACTTACTGTACTTTTGAAAATGTAGCTAAAATAAGTATATCTGGTTTTGTAGCGCGCTCACCACAAGGAAAGGGAAGATCATGCCGATGATGAAGAGGTTTAGCCACATTAGAAATCCAGCCGTCATGCAGGCCGCAGGTCGTGCTGTCTGGTTAAAAATCTCAGTCGGAAGGATTACAGACACCCCAGCTACCATATGAAGAAAATAAGCACATTGTTGACAATTCTGGCAAAGCATAGACATGACACTGTGGTACTGGTTAGATTAACATCATACTGTATGTCAGGATTTTGTGATTTACCTGGACCCATGCCAAAGCTGAGAATGTAAGTGAAGATGCAGGTCATGCTCAGGTAAGGCATCCAGGTAACAATATTCTATTGGGAAGAGGAAGCAAAAATGAAATATAACAGGTGTTTGTTTTATCATGACATTTATCCTTCTTTATTGTTTTTATTTTATTTTTTAAACTGACTGAAGTAAAAGCTTAAAATTGTTGTAGAATTTTTTTTTATAAAAATAAAACCTCAAATCAACACTTTTCTATTATTTAAAAAAAAAGATTTTATTAAACGGTCAACGTCAACGTCTGCTTTCATCACTAAAAATTATGAAAAAAAATCTTCTTGAGTACCAAATCAGCATATTATGTTGATTCTTGAAGGATTATATGACACTGAAAGTACCTTGGTAATGTTATAATGTTGTATAAACCTATGTAAAGCTATTGTATACTGGAAATGATGAGAGAAACTAATTTATTTGCAGAAAAATGACAATAGGCCAATTCAAAATATTTTCATATTTACATGAAACTGAGGCTACAATTCACACAGGCTCACCAAAATCGGACAATAGAAGATTGAAAAAACATTGTCTGGTCTAATGAGTCTCGATTTCTGCTGCGGGATTGGGATGTAGGGTCAGAATTTGAGTATTGTTGCTGACCATGTTCATCCCTTTATCACCACAGTGTACCCATCTTTTAATTGCTAATTCCAGCAGGATAACGCGCCATGTCATAAAGCGCAAATCATCTCAGACTGGTTTCTTGAACATGACAATGAGTTCACTGTCCTCAAATGGCCTCAATAGTCACCAGATATCAATCCAATAACGCACAATTGGGATGTGGAGGAACGGGAAATCTGCAGCAACTGTGTGATGCTATCATGTCAAAATGGACCACAATCTCTGAGGAATATTTTCAGTACCTTGTTAAATCTATGCCACGAAGAATTAAGGCAGTTCTAAAGGCCAAAGGGGGTCCACCCCGGTACTAGTAAGGTGTACCTAGTAAAGTGGCTGGTGAGTGTATATATACATGTATATACAGTATGCTTATTTATCACTCAATATTTAAGGTCTGAAATCATATTTATTACAACTGACTAATTGTTATTTTTTGCAAGTATTTACTTTATTTTTTATTAGAAATTTAAAAGGCGAATTATCAATCATTCATGGGAAAAAAACACAAATGAACATTTTACACAAAACACATTCAAAATCCATTGACTTGAGGTTGTCTCTTAAATTTCTTCAAGAGCAGTATATTATTACATTGTGTACTGTTTGACATGATCTTTTTTGAAAATTTTATAATGGTAAATTTTTTTATTCTATTTATTTCTATTTAAATTGTGATTAAAAACAAAAAAAGATGTAATAATACTTCAAAATAAAACATATCTGCTGTATTTTTATTGAATAAATACAGCCTTTGTGCTTATGAGAGACTTCTTTCACAAACATTAAAATATCTGCTGAATGACAGCATAACTTATATCTAAAGTAGCCAGTCATCGTTAACTGAAAATGACTTCTGTTCAGTCCCACATTCAAGAGGACTAAAGTTGGACATTAAGTATCCACTTTGAGGTTAGACATTACCTAGAGAGCACACTGTACAAATGCAGATTATAGTGTCTGAACATGCACACTTTTACATAACCTTCCACTTGCCACATTCTGGCAGGTAAGGGAAAACGGGTTCAAGCAACACTGAGTAATACCAAATACTACAGAATACACAAGACATGTCACTCGTAAAGTTTTGAATGGAAAAAGTGTAATGGTCAATATGGTGAATTAGCGATCGCTCTATAGTCTGATGTTTTTCAGGGGAAAAAGCTCGGAACAGACGTGTGCTTTATTGACAGTTTGGTGGTCAACAAATGCACTGGTTTGTTGGTTTTGTAATTTGTTTGAATAGAACGCGCGGTGCATTCCCTTTTGTCAAATGCACATCACATGACAGCAGCTACTTAAACGCCCCACAGACTTGTAAACAAATAGTTGCTGTCATTTCTGGAGGAAATTTACCATCAAGACCAAGTTGTGGATTACTTCAGAAGAGCGCGATCAGATGATGCATTTATCAGAGGATGATGTGTAACACGGCCATAAACGAGGTTGGTGTCGTGATCTCATTCCTTTCGAGTGCACATTTGAATTTAGTTTTTATATTTAGAAGCAAAACTTATGAGATAATTGTTGCTTAATTTTACTGGTGATTGCAAATATGTAATGTAATCATAAGCTTGGCAAACAGTTTTGGAGAATTTAATGTTTCCCCATTCAGACAGAATGCCCGAGCATACTGCCCGAGAGGCGTTACAAAGATGGCCGCAGAGTGAAATTACTTGCCTTAAAGGAACTTTAATAATACACACCTCAAGTGAAAGAGCCACAGTGAAGACTACAGCCCATCCTGTCATCAGAACATAACCGCCCATCAACATCAGCTTCCTACCCAGCCTTTCTATTAACAGGTTCTGAACACACACACATGCACACACACACACACACACACACACACACACACACACACACACACACACACACACACACACACACACACACACACACACACACACACAGATTTAACGTTCAAGTGTAGCCACGTTATTCAGTAATTATTATTATTATTATTATTAAACAGTAATTATTTTGGTAGCACTTTACAAAAACAGTACAATTACAATGTTCATTAGTGATCATTAATTCATTAATATGTAAATTAAATGTTCATTATAATGAATTAATGATAAGTTATGATGAACCTATACCTTAATGGCTTGTTTTTAGAATTGTTAATTAATGTATTAATTAACACATTGGTATTAAGTAAGTTAAAAGTGCACCTACATTGACCCACATGAACCTGTCATTGTATCATATGACTTTACTTGAAGGGGCACATTTTTATTAACTGATTCTTAACAACTCCTGTGTTTAACATATCGATCACGTTTGACAGGCGAGTGCATGTTTACATAGAAAAACTATAGAAAAGTGTTTATAATGAACAGTTTAAACACAACATTTTATAAGTTAGGAATGAGTAAATGACAATGTGCCCCTCCAAGTAAAGTCATAGCATAATACATTCATAGGTGATGAGTTCATGTTGATCAAGTTACACTTTTAAATAATATTCTTTCTCAGAGAGTGAGTTACATTTAGCTTAAACTAAAGTGTCAATTAATACAATAATTAACAAATATGCACTTGGTGTGTTTTCTTTGGTAAAGTTTAGCTTGCATATTAGTACCCAGCAAACAATTTTGAGTTTAGTAGATGTCTAATACACATCTAAATGTAGACAGCTTGGCTAAACAAGGCTAAACCTCGGATGTCACTGAAAATCTAGCCCAAAACTAGACTAATCGTCAAATAGACAGATTAGACAGACTTTATATGTGTAGTCATTCATTTCTGTTTGTTTGATGACTAGTCTAGTTTTGGCTTATTCTTAGACGTCTATTAGATTTTCACTGACAGCTTAAATTTAGCCTTGTTTTAGCCAAGAAGACTATGTTTAGACGTCTATTAGACATCTATTAGACATCTTTTAAAAACAAAAAAATACTTGCTGGGTATTTAGGTACTGTTATTGTAAAGTGTTACCAATATTTTATAGTCACATTAACCAGGTTACTCCAAATAAATGATCTCAGAAAAATATTTGACTGATCAGGCTAATATTTTGGATGAAATAATTCACTGACACTGTACAAGTGGGTTAAAAGACTGGCTGTGTTAATCTGGGATGGTTACATAATTGATAACAGAAGAACGTAAGACTCACACACAGGATGCAAGCAGTAAATTCACACATCCCGGTGCCGATGGTCACATATTGGATCTGTCCTGCAGATATACCCGCTTCTTGGAAGACATATGATGCATAGAAGTAGATCTGAGGAATATGAAAGAAAAAAGGGGTTTAGAGTTTTTTGAAATGATGAGTTTGCAAAAAAACAAACAAATCAAAACACATCAGGGTTAATGGCTGAAATCCTTCTGAGGCGTTTCGAGTTATGTAAGAAGTTTTGGGTACAAGAAAGATTTACCAAAGCTTTATGCAAGGCAAGTCAATCATTTGCTGTTTTAGTTTCTCAGTGGAAAATTTTTTCTAAGATTCTGTTTTCATCTGAATGATATGTTTTGGTGGGCTGGATGACAGATAGACGAGGGAGATACAATTCTCTATAAACCTGCTGTTTTTGTCTGTTTTGTCAACTTTTAACCAGCTATACAAGGACAGTGGCAGTTGTGTTTAGTACTTCAGTAGTTAAATGTTTAATATGTTTCACACATGCAAATTCTGAAACTGTACATTAAACATTTTTATCCTTAATAATCTGGCAAATTAACTCACTTCTCAGATCACCAGACAACACTGACTCTGAACAGGATGCAGCTTGGTTCATCACTTGTGTGGTCCCCAGACATATTCCTATCATGGTCTGCACTATTTGCAGTGCGTTTCTGTATTTGCATGTGTTGTGAGAATTTATGTGCGAATCTAAATTGATGATGTTTTCTCAATTTGTTTTTCTTCATGTGTTTTCTTAACTTGCAGTGCATTTGAGCTCTCTCAACCACCAAAGATTTCACAGCCTGCAATGACACCTTCAGTTACTCATAAATCATTTAAATATGATCATATAATCATATACTACTAATAATACTAATATATTACACATAATATAATAATGAAACTCAATTGTTTTAGTTAAAAAAATAATATACAGAAACTCCTTATTACAGTTTACACCAGGGGTCACCAATCTTGTTCCTGGAGGGCCGGTGTCCTGCAGGGTTTAGCTCCAACTTGCCTCAACACACCTGCTTGGGTGTTTCAAGTATACCTAAGACCTTGATTAGCTTGTTCAGGTGTGTTTGATTAGGGTTGGAGCTAAAATCTGCAGGACACCGGCCCTCCCGGAACAAGTTTGGTGATCTCTGGTTTACACCAACTGAGAGAATGACAACAAATTGACATCCTTCACTCACCTGACCATTAATCACAATATTTTGTCCTCCTTTGCAGACATTTTTCTTGCTTTTTAAAACCCGTTTACCACTACAGAAGTTGACCGAAATATGATGATCATCAGTCACATGATTCTCTTGATATAATTCTGATATGCTGATTTGTTGCTCAAAAAACATTTAGAAATATTGAAACAGCAGTAACAATTGTGCTGATTATTATTGTTATTATATAAAATCTCATTATGTAGAAAGCATGAAACATTCCATCTGTCCTCTGGATATGATCCCACCTTTTTTCTTTAAACATATTATGAATACAATTGGTCCTGGCCTGCTATTGGTTATCAACAAATAAATTAGTATACAGGCTCCTTCACTAACTGACTTAAATGTGATGTAGTGACACAATATCTCAAATACCCAAACCTCGATCCAGCCTCTTCTGTCACATTTTCGGCCTATTTCTAATCTTCCTTTTATTTTAAAGATCCTTGAGAAAGTTTTTTGACTCATTTACAAACCTATTTGACTTTAAATTTGATCCATGAGACATTTCAAGCTGATTTCAAAGCATTACACAGTACTGAACTTTTTTCTTTGCCTTTAGTACTCCTATGTACAGCACTTTTGTCAACTTTGGTTGCTTTTAAATGTGCTTTGTAAAAAATATATTGTATTGTATTGTAACATTATTGTTAGGATTCTTTGATGAACTGAAAGTTTAAAATATCTCAATAGCATTCCAGCAAATATTAACGTAAAGCCAGCAACATCAGCATTTATTCTTGTGAACTGCTGGGTGTTCTTTCTTTGGTTAATATACAGCTCATGAAGCAAAGCACCGGAGATTAAATTTCCAACACAGGACAGCACAGGACTGGACAAATGCAGGGTCTCACCGAATCATTACCGCACAGCTGCATGGCACTGCTCAAGACGGCCACCGAGATCAGCTGCCAGCGGACGCTGCGGTCAGTCAACAGATCCCACGGCTGCTTGGCACGATCGCTTTTGATTTCATTCTGTTCCTGCAGAAGCTCATCCAGCTCTTCTCTCCGCACCTCACAGCCTCGCAGACGCTTCAGTGCTATGAAAGACATTTTGAAAATAGCAGAATGAGATAAATAAATGTTGTCACAGATTTCTCATGACTCATAATCTTTATTAGTTTCTTAGTTGTACTGCTTTTTGCTGCTCAATTGAAGGACTCGCTTTTACTGCATTGCAAACTTAGACCAGAAGTGGGTAAAGTACATTGGTCAAAGATAAAAGGACTTTTCGAACATCAAAACATTCATGACTATACCATTATACCATAAATCTAATCATTTTGAGAAGACTCTTAAATGTCAGCCAATGTAACAATAGTTAGTATACAAAAAAGTATAGCAAGAATGACATATTGAACTGAAAGACTGTTTAAAGGCCACCGTATGGTCCCAAAATACATATTAATTGTCGTTTTAAGGGGATTTTTCAACCAAAAGTGAAACTTTTCCACTTGTTCCAAAACCTGCTGGAGTTTTATTTCTTCTGTTGAACACAAAGGAAGGTCTATTGAAGAATATTTGAAAAAAATAGACTTCCATAGTATTTTTGTTATCACTATGGATGTCAATGGCGGTTTTTCCCTCAATATTTTCACTGAAGAAAGAAATTCATTCAAGTTTAGAACTACTTGAGCATGAGTAAATTGTGAAGAAAGTTTCATTTTTGGCTGAACTATCTTTATAAATCTTTAGATTTAGCTATATTTTCCTTCAAACCACTCAGTTTGAAAGAAAGAGATCACAATATATATATATATATATATATATATATATATATATATATATATATATATATATATATATATATATTATTATTATTAATTATTTCACCCAGACAGTTACTTTCATAGTAGTTATTTATTAACATTTCATGTTTTCATTGCATTTAAAATCACTTTTGTAAAAGTAATTTACTACATACACCAAATTGGGACTTCTCGTCTTTAACCCCCATTTTTTATTGTGCTTTATACATAGTCAGGTAAAAAGTGTATTTCAATTTTAAAAGAGATTTAATCTAGACAAAAATTTAAGACATCTAACAAGAGAACAAAAATGTACAATCCATCAAACAGATCAGACAGACTTCACATGCTAGCCTGTATGATGACTAGTCTATTTTTGGACTACTGTTAGGTGTCTATTAGCAATGTCTAAATTTAGCTTTGTTTTAGCAAAACGTCTATGTTTGGACGTCTATCAGATGTCTATTGAACACAAAAAATAAAAAATAAATAAAAATACCTGAAAGACAGGCCTCCTTGTCTTTACAGTCAAAAAGGAGGTAACGGGGACTCTCTGGGAACCAGGGCAAGGTGAGGAGCTGGATGAAGCCTGGGATGGCATTACTTGCCAATAAGTACTGCCAATATGGCTCACTACCCAACAACTCTCTGAAACGTACACACATTTTAAAATCATGATAAAGTTGTGTGTACTTCTGTATACAAAATTAAAGTTCCTACCTGTCTCCCAAATCACATTCTCTCTGGAATAGATAATCATTTTACAACCACTAAAAACTACATTCTAAATGATTCTAATGAGTTTATGAAATTGAAAGCAGTCTGGGTGTCCTTCAATAACCGCATTGTCAAATATTTTTTTGGCCTAGGCTTTATTATAGATCTAGTAATTATTTTTCTATATTGTAGTATAAGTATGTAATCACAGCAATAGTGAGTTTGCTAATGTAGCAAGTATTCTAAAATCAATGTAATACCTTGGTAAGTATATTACTTCCAACTCCAAGCACTGAAAATGTCTCACTCTTAAGTTTATAGATGAACACTATTAAGTGTATACTTAACTAGTAACCTATGCGTAAACAACTAGTTTACATCTACACTCACCGGCCACTTTATTAGGTACACCTTAATAGTACCGGGTTGTAACCCTATTTGCCTTCAGATCTGATTTAATCCTTAGTGGCATAGATTCAACAAGGTACTGGAAATTTTTACCCGAGATTTTGGTCTATATTGACATGATAGCATTATGCAGTTGCTGCAGATTTGTCGGCTGCACATCGATGATGCGAATGTCCTTTTCCCCAAAGGTGCTCTATTGGATTGAAATCTGGTGACTGTGGAGGCCATTTGAGTACAGTGTAGAACTCATTGTCATGTTCAAGAAACCAGACTGAGATGATTCGATGTTGACACAATGCTCAATGGGTGCCACTCCAAAGTGTGCCAAGAAAATATCCCTCACATCATTACACCATCACTAGCCGTTGATACAAGGCAGGACGGATTAATGCTATCACGTTGTTGATGCCAAATTCTGACCCTACCATCCAAATGTCGCAGCAGAAATTGAGGCTGATCAGACCAGGAAACGTTTTTCCAATCTTCTATTGTATAATTTTGGTGAGCCTATGACAATTGTAGCCTTGGTTTCCTGTTTTTAGCTGACAAGAGTGGCAGCCGGTGTGGTCTTCTGCTGCTATAGCCCATCTGCTTCAAGGTTGGATGTTTTGCTTTCAGAGATGCTCTTCTGCATACCTCGGTTGTAACGAGTGGTTATTTGAGTCACTGTTGCCTTTCTATCAGCTCGAACCAGCCTGGCCATTCTCCTCTGACATCAACAAGGCATTTGCGCCCAATGAACAGCCGCTCACTGGATATTTGCTCTTTTTCAGTAAACCCTAGAAATTGTTGTGCCTAAAACTCCCAGTAGATCAGCAGTTTCTGAAATACTCAGACCAGCCCCTCTGGCACTAACAACCATGCCACGTTCAAAGTCACTTAAATCACCTTTCCTCCCCATTCTGATTCTTGGTTTGAACTGCAGCAGATTGTCTTGACCCTGTCTACATGCCTAAATGCATTGTGTGTCTGCCAAGTAATTGGCTGATTAGAAATTTGCATCAAGGAGCAGCTGGACAGGTGTACCTAATAAAGTGGCCGGTGAGTGTACGTTTCTCATCTGTAGGTATAAGTGAACTTATAGGTATACTGATAATTTGTTACTAGTTACTGTAGCTCTTCTTTAAAATAGATTAATTAAGCTACTCGGTCTAAAGAGTAAAAACGAAAGCAAGCCAATAATACTTTAAAATATTTGTTCGTATAAAGATATCAAAAGACTGAACACATGCATTCGCCAGTTATCGTACACTTATACTTTCATTCAGTATAAGTTTACTCAAGTATATTTCATAGATGTACATACTAATTCGACTAATTTTTGTGTTTAAAAATTATACTACCAATGATCAGTTTTGTAAATTACACAATATTTAACTGTAATTTGAACCAAATTTTGCTGTAGGACAGTTACACAGTATGTCACTGTGTTTTACAGTTGTATTGTGAAAAAATAATTGCATATTTTTACAGGAAATACAGTAAATACAATACTGTAAATACATATACAGCAAGATAAATGGTGCTGTAAAAAAATGCAGTATAATACGGTAAGTTACTGGCAAACTGCTGCCAGTAAGTTACCATAGATTCTACAGGAAATTGTCAGTGTAGTAATACAAATAACACTCTGAATGTACCTAACAAAGTATTATTAAACAAAACAAACTTAAAATCGCAGGAAGAGTATCTCTTATGAGCCAACAGAACTGCATCAAATATATACATAATTCGTACCTCAAACTGACCACCTGTCCTAAAACCAGTCCAAATGAAGTGAATACAGCAGAGGATAGAGACACGGCTCCTCGTAAGTGCTTTGGTGCACTTTCACCAAAATACATAGGCTGTACATTCATACTGATCCCTGAACAGAAAAAGGAAGAAACATTATCAATATCTCAGTCTTAAAATATTTGGGGTTCATTTATGATGCTATTATGGGCGAAATACATATAAACACAATACCTGCATTAATTCCAACTAAAAATCTTGATATAATAATCATCTCAAATGACTTTGCTGTTCGGCTCAGCAGTGCAAGCAGTGAACTTGATAACAGAAAGACATTGTTAAGCAGCAAAGTCTTCTTCCTTGGAAACAAGAACACAGCAAGGTGAATTATTATTAGCATGAAGCATTGAGGTTTTGTGAACATTGTATATTATTAAAAAGCTGACAAAAGTGACCGTACCTCCCTAAACGTACAGACATTGGACCTGCTATTAGGGCCCCAGTAAGGCCCCCCAATGAAAAAATGGAGACTATAAAGGTCCATATGAGTGTGACTTCATAAACCCCCAATTGTATTCCCCATCGCTCCTGAAATGTCTCATTCACAAAGTTTTGAATAAACTGCAGGAGGGAACACATAACAAAAAACAGGTACTTAACACACTTACTAAACTAAACAAAAAAAAAAGTCCACACAAGGTCAAAGTTTATTGATATTGCAAACTCTTGGGGACCACAATGTGATGGATCAAAAGGTACATATAAACACTCACACACACACACACACACACACACACACACACATGCACACGCACACGTGCACACACACACACACACACACACACACACACACACACACACACACACACACACACACAATGAAACATCTACAATATATTATGATATCACTTACAATAGTCGGTGCATTCATTATGGCCAGGTTGTATCCATATTGTAATGTTCCCCCAATCGCTGCAGATGTCACCATTAAAACCAAAGTGTATGAATGACCCTGATAAGATAAATACAATGCATAGTTAAAATGTATTTCTAATTAGCATTAAATCCCCAATTGCACCATAAGATGTGATGCAAATACTTTATTATGCTGCACAAATCAAATGTATTTCACATAAATTACTAAGTGTTCATTGAAATGCCAATAAAAAGAAAGCTAAATTAACTTTACAGAGAAACTTGCAACTTGTTTATTTGAAGGGATAGTTCACCCCTTAAAAATTTCCCTCAAAAATGTTGAGGAAAAATGTATTATTTAAATACCTAATTACTTCAACTTAAACAAAGTAAATTCACAGTACTCATATAGATTTTTTTTTTTAATTCAAATGGTTAGCAATCGGTTTCCTCAAATGGTTTGAGTTGCCTTAATGTATTGTGTTTTACAGCACTCAGTTAATTTGAGTTCTCTTCATTTATTGAGATATTCTGTGCTTAGATTGCTTCGTTTACTTTAATGGATTAAGTTCACAGTACTTATTTGGATTAGTTTTTGAACTTGAATGGTTTGTTGCAATCGGTTTCCTCAAATGGTTTGAGTTACTTTAACTTATTGGGTTTTATAGTGTAAAGTACTAATGCTAAAATACTAGTCAACTATTACAGGTTTCCAATGTTCTTCAAAATTTATTATTTTGTGCTCAACAGAACAAATAAACAAAAACTGATTTGGAACAATTCAAATGTGAGTAAATTGAACAGAATTTTCATTTTTGGGTGAACTACCCCTTAAAGAACAAAATTCAGACTACTGAAATACTTTAGCAATAGGACGTTTGTAACATTTTACCTTCTTCTCCTTTGTTGTCATGTTGTCCTTTCGAATGTGCTGATAATTCCAGAGATTGAAATCCAAAGAAAATAGAGAAAGAAGCTTTGGGTTTATTCTGTTCTCGCCATTACATGAGACATCGCTGTTCTGCGGACGGTGCGTAAAAATAAGTGAGACACGCGTCTCCAAATGTTACAGCCAGTAAGCAATTTCAGTATAGTTTAACCAACAAACCTCTTGACTAAATGAAGTAAAACAATTTTATAATTGATTTTCAGATTTTCTTGAGAGCTCCCGATGAATAAAACGCACTTGCTTGTGTTCATTTAAATGTCCAGGTCCATTTAAATGTAATGAGATCATATAAACTAGTTTAACTCCACCTATTGGAAAATGCCTACAACTGTACTGCAGGTAGCCTACTGTAAAACCATAAAAAGAGTATTTATGCAACATATATTAATGTCTTTAAAAAATAAAAGAAAACAGTTTTAAGCTGGTTTTAGATTCAGTCAGCACTAGGCACTAATAAAGTTATGGAATATTATGGAATGGTAGTAAAATTTGAGATGATATTGAGTTTATCTATTCATTCCACTAGAGGGCAACATAACATTAAAATAATTTTGGACTCATGAAGTTTGCACGTTTTAGAAGGACTAAAGTCGATTTTGGTTTACTTATAAAATAAATTCTGAATCAGCTGTAAGTTTATATTAACTGACCCAAAAACTAGACGAAAACTTTGCCTTTATAAAAATTAGCAAGTCAAAGATAAGAAGAAGTAGAAGAAGAAGTACAAGAAAATAAAAAGCCTGAACTACGGTAAACACAAAATAACCATGGTTTTGCTATACAATGGAATTCGTCGTAGAAATTTGGTAAAAACAAATGATAGTCAATCAGAAAAACAAACAAACAAAAATGAATACAGTTTTGATATATCATATGGATAATTTTCATTCATTCATTTTCTTGTCAGCTTAGTCCCTTTATTAATCTGGGGTCGCCACAGCGGAATGAACCGCCAACTTATCCAGCAAGTTTTTACACAGCGGATGCCCTTCCAGCCGCAACCCATCTCTGGGAAACATGCACACACACACTCATACACTACGGACAATTTAGGCAACTCAATTCACCTGTACCACATGTCTTTGGATTGTGAGGAGGAAACCGGAGCACTAGGAGGAAACCCACGCAAAGGCAGGGAGAACATGCAAACTCCACACAGAAACGCCAACTGAGCCGAAGTTCGAACCAGCGACCCAGCGACCTTCTTGCTGTGAGGCGACAGCACTACCTACTGCACTACTGCCTCACCCTGGATAATTTTCATTCACAGGATTAATATGTTCTTGCCTGTTTGTATTACAAAAAAAATGTCAATCAAATTAGAGAGTTAGAATTAAGATTTGTTTTACTGAGTTAATGTACCATAGACCTGCTTTTATGACTGTCCCAGTAGCCTCTTTATTCCATTACAGTTACAGTACGCGTTATCCTAACTCATTTTGGCCTTCAGTGTAATCCAGTCTAAAATGAAAGAAATACCCGTGTGAGTGGAGTGGAAAAATCATGCCACACCACACATGTAAAGGTAAACTTGACAACAAAAGTTGGCCCACAGTACCCTTTGATTTGGCCCGCACAAGGACAAATTAAGGCAGAGGCAGGTTCTGCTTGACTAGTAATCATCATGGAAATCCACTGTGCTATAAATGTATTATAAAATTATTGCAATAACTTATCATTTTAAATGTTTTACTTATGATTTAAAGTAATTTTTTCTATGTTTTAATCTTATGAAATAATTTAGAAAATTACCCATGGCAACTTTAATATAATATAGGTGGTATATTTACCTTCAACCCATGGCTCTCACGAAAAAGTTTTGGCACCCCTGGAATGTAAAAAAAAAATTGAAGGGTGGTTCATGTGACTAATGTAAAAAAAATCAATATCAAATATGGGTCTAAATATTACTTAAATAAATATGTTCTGTTAAGTTTTTACTTATATGTAATTTTGTTTATGATTGTTAGATTATTAAAAATATATTTATTTAGTTTACTTCCAAATAAATAAATCAATATCAAATATGGGTCTAAATATTACTTAAATAAATATGTTCTGTTAAGTTTTTACTTATATGTATTTTTTATGATTGTTAGATTATTCAAAATATATTTATTTAGTTTACTTCCAAATAAATAAATAAATAAATAAATAAATAAAAAGTGTTAAAACCCTAACGTTAACTGTCCTCCAGCCCAGCAGTGCACTCCTCTTTTAACTCGCGCGCGCGCACGCAAAGCAGAAGGATGTTCAGGGTGTGGAGAGTCCTGCGCTCTGAGTAATCTATAAAGCAGTTCTCTACTTAACCATATTTCACCCCTGTTTTACCATCTTTAACATCATGGTGAATTAGAAATAAATAGTTAGCGTTTCATATGACGTCAACAGAAAGACGACGTTGCTCAAGTTTGACGTCAAGTTCAAAATACCTGGATCGACGCATGGCGTCTTGTGTCGAGTAGGCGACATGGAACTATGAAGAAAGACGTTCAGAGTTTTAATATGGAAATCAGATTTCTGACCAGTGCAACGGACGGTCAGTAATAACTACTACTAGCCAATCTCAGGAAAACGCGCGTGCCTTCATCTTTATTGGCAAAGATAAATGTTTTAATATAAAAGACGACGCTGAGAATCTTTCATCAACAACTCACCCAAACGCCTTATAATGATGTATCGTGCTTTTTGGGATACAATATTCCTTCTCACCGGTGAGTACAAGTGTTTATTGTTGTGTTCTTTTTGATACGTTTTTTAAATTAAAATGTAAGACTTAAGTTTACAAGAGATGCAAAGACCAAAACGATTGTATAGTTTTTTTTTTCATAAATTATTTTTCATGAATGAAATGATTTTACATAAAAACATTGGATTTTTAGGATTTGCCTAAATAAACATGTCTCAATTGAATTTTAACTTATTTAAATTGAGAATAGTGTTGATTCAGAGTTTCAGACGCTGAATATAAAGATGTGAGCTGTGAATTAAGCTTTTAATGATGTGCATAGGATTTTTCCACTGATGATACATTTATATTTTATTATTGATTTATGATTTGACACTAATCTTTAATAATCTTTATTCTAAGTTTTTTTTTTCCTGACAAACCATTCAGTCTCATCATTAGTAGTGAAGAACTTGGATATCCAGTGTGTAATAACTTTGCTTATATTTGACAGATGTCCTGTCAGTCTGAGTAATGCATGCTAGAAGCAGTGGTTTGCTGTCCTTTTTTGTCCAGCAGCTTCTCTGGCTCAATAGTCTTGCACCCTTCATTAACGAGGTTAACTGAGCTTAGTTTAAATATAGAGCCATTCTCTCCTTTATGCCTTTGTTGCTACAGTGAAGGCACGTTCTTAACCCAGCAAGCAGTATTAATGTGAGAAAGTCAAGTTTCAAGTAGTATTTTTCAATCAGCAGGACATCATGCGGGCTGTTGCTTTCTGTCATTTCAAATGTTCAAGTATTTATATTTGGATCATCATGACAAGGCGTTTCTAAACCTGCCTGATGCCCCATAATGTACTTTCTTTCTACTTTCTAAATAACATTCAATGGGAACTTGAGCTCTACTGCAACAATAGACGAGGTCCCATTTTCTCAGAATGCGATTTTGTTACAACAATGATTAAGGAATGGCAGCTGGTAAAGAAAACCATTAGGAGGTGTACGCTTGCAATAATAGGGTTTTCTTACATTAAAGGGCTAGATAACCCAAAATCTTTTTTTGCCCACTTTTTTATTAGACACTTTAATATTAGTTATTTACTTGTTACAAAACATGGCTGGCTGACTTCTGTGGAACATCATGAGAAATGTCTGTTCTTTTGCCCAGAGCTATCAGCTTTCTTCAAAATATCATCAATTTTGTAAAGGGAGAGTTTTCCCAAAAGTTAAAATTGTCATCGTTTACTCATCTTTCACTTGTCTACAAACCTCTTTGAGTTTCTTATTTTCTGTTGAATATAAAAGAAGTAATTTTGAAAAATGTTTGAAAACCGAAACTATTGACTTCCATAGTATGTTTTTTACTATGGAAGTTAATAGTTACAAGTTTCTAAAATTTGTTCTGCAGAAAAGGGTAGCACATGAATGTTTTTTAAGCATAACTCGAGGGTAATAAATAAGTGAGTAAAGTCTCATTTTTGGGTGATTTATCCCTTTAAGAATTCATTCGTTCAGGAATTTTTTTTTTTTTGGGTATTTGATTTATTATTTCATTTTCTGTTTACTTGCTGAAACTGCACCCAGAGTAACATGCCCCCAACAAGTCTTCCATTTGGTAAATGTATCAATATATTATGTGCACTATACTTTCAGCCTGGTGCCTATGTTTTAAATCTTAAAGTGTTCTTGTAACCAGGAAAGCTATTTCCGAGAAGTTTCCAGTGCAATGAAAAATAATGTTTTCTCATTTAACAAGGATTTTCATAAAAGCCCCATGCACATAGAATATAAAGGTGCCTTGAGGTCCCAGACTCCCATCAAACCATTTTAGTAGCACCGCAGTAAATATTAGAGGCTAATCAGAACACTTTAGAAATGGTATAAAACAGATGGAGATGGCCTGCATGTGAATCATTATGCATGACCTTTGCTTAAATAACAGATTTTTACCTCGGTCTTAAAATAAAGACATTTTAATTAAACACAGAATGAATAGCATGTGAGAGAATTAATTGAGAGGCCTTATTAATTGCATATTCAGTAATTTATATATAGAATTAAAACCAAATGTTTGCGTTACATCCCCATCTACTTTTCCTTTACATCATGAAACCTTTTAAATATACTTTACAACTCAACCGATTGGTTTCTGCAGTTTTGCATTAGCATGTTGTTAAGCTAATGACAATAGTAAACATATTTTTGTATTTTTATTGTTGAATTAAGGAAGTTATAATCAGCATTTTCTTGACATCTGCAATTTTTTTTCATTGATCTCATTGCAGTGTTATTCAACAATAATGGTGCAAAAACATCACTCTAAGAAACTTTTAGAACAGTGCAATACATTTTGGGATTTGTGATGTTCTTGCCATTTGGCAGAGATGTAAGCATGAATTGTAAGGGCCGATTTCTATGGTGGTGTCCTACCTGTGCATGCGGAGAGATCCGCATCACAATCCACTTTAATTTATCTTAACCCAGTCCTACTCTGTAGCAGTTCTCAAAATAGTCTTAAGGTCAGAAGTCAGAAACTCCCACTGTTGTTCCATGGCATTTTAATTAATCTCTGAGTCTGAAGCTAGTTGACTTTGAGTAGCTATTTCTCATTTGAGCTAAATGCCTCTCAAGCCTTTTTCTCTCTAGTGTGTGATGCTGTTGCTTCGTGGTTTTGTCATTGCTGTAACCATTATGAATGTGGCATTTTTTGACTTTGTTGGATCCTCGTTTTCACGTTTGGGTAAGTGGTTGTGTTATTTGGGTCGTTTTGAAGACCTCGTCGTAATCTGCTTGCTTGGTTATCGTCAACATTTCTAGTTTCTGTTGAATATACGCATGTTGTGTTTGATTTGTAGGCTCCCTTTTTACGTATGGGCAGGTGCAAGAGAATTCTACCTCAACGACGACTATTGCAACCACGACAACAACTACTACAACAACTACCACCACTACCACCACCAGCACCACGACCACCACTACTACCACACGAGTCAGAAGTATGTGACGCCTCTTCTTTTCTTTATGCTTGGGTTAATTTAGGTTTCGTAGGTATGAAATGCCATGCGTGTTTATGTAACATTTAATGTATTATGCAACATAAAATGGCCGTCTTATGAAAGCGAGCTAGTTTCCTGCATTTCAGAAGCTAAATATTTAAATTAACTTTTTAAACTTTTTATCCCAGTTAACCTTAAAACTGTATTTTGATGTATTTGGAAATGTAAGCTGTGTTTATAGGAAACACTTATTAAAGGAACACTCCACTTTTTTTTTTAATATATTATAGTTTTTTTTTTTTTTTTTTTACAACTTCTCTAAAGTTAAACAGTTGAGTTTTACCATTTTCGAATCCATTCAGCCGATCTCTGGGTCTGGCAAGAGCTATTTTAGCTTAGCTTAGCATAATATATTGAATTCAATTAGACCATTAGCATCTCATTTAAAATGTTTTTGAAAATTTTCCTATTTAAAACTTGATGCTTTTGTAGATGAATCTTATACTGAAATGAAAAGTAGCTATTTTTTAAGTTGATATAGCTAGGAACTATACTCTAATTCTGGTGTAATAATCAAAGAACTTTGCTGCTGTACCATGGCTGCAGCAGGCACATATGCAGTGCCTGAAAGTCGGCAAATTTCTGTGTATTTACGTAAATACATTTCAGGATCTGCACCAAAGTAAATATGTTTTGAATCATCTCACACAAATGTCTCCGATGTTGCACCTTGCAAGCCATATTCCTTGTGAAAGCAGGTATACATGTTGGTTATATTAACAGAAGTTAGCCAATATTTAGGTGCTGTGTAACTAGTGTTGTCACGGTAAAAAAGTTTTAAAAACGTCCATTTCCCGCTAACATTTGAGCGCTGTTGAGCACATACTTGAACACTGCTGATTTTCCATTGTGTCCGCATGCTTAATGACTGTGATTGGCTGTGAAACACAGATACATGGACATTGGAGGAGTTTAAATCCACAAATATCAGCCGATTCATCAGTGGTTCGCTCATATGTCAGCTCAAAAACAGATCAGCTGATTTTAGTGGCTTTAAACAGCTCCAGTGTCTATCTGTGTTTGCACTCTGTAAACAGCAGTTAACCGATTACCTACACAGCCAATCACTGTCATTTCTGTTGAGCATGTGAACACAATGGCAAATCAGCAGTGCTTAATTCACACTACAATCAACTCAAAGCGGCAAAGCGACAATTGCCATTTATTTCAACAGAAAGCGAGTGACTGCTGTTGACCTCCATCTATGCGAGCAACTGTTGGTTTAGAATCCTTCAACTTTATGCAAATGAAGAGCTACTTCCTTGAGCGACAGCCAATAGGAGCACTAGTAGAACTCATGTAATCTTCTCTCAGCTCACTTGGAGGCCGGTTGTATTATCCATGCTGAAGACCTACACAGATCTGTGTTTGCAGATCGACAGGCAGCTACAAAGACGATGCTAGTGTAAATAAGGCATAAGAACGCAATCAACAGCGCCTAAATGTTAGCAGGAAATGGACGTCTTTAAAATTTTTGTACCTATTGGAACCGAAATACAGTATTGTGACAGCACTATGCGTAACATAATTGCACCTCCTGCAGCCATGGTATGGCATCAAAGTTACTTGATTATTTTGCCAGAATGAGAGTATAGTTCCTACTTCCTAGTCTGATGGACCTCTCCAACCAAAATCAATCAAATCAATAAAAAAAATAGCCAAGTCTTCATCTTTTGGTTATTTCTGAATTTTATGAATAATTTATAATACTTTGATGTTGGCTACTGTGCTTAACAATACTGAAAAAGAAATCAGTAGCTACTTCTGTTTCATCATGACTCTTAAGTGCTATAGTGACACCTTGGTTTGGCTGACTTGGTTTGGAATAAGACATAATAATGGTGGACTAGTTCATTTATTGTACAGCAGACAGTTTTCATTCACTGTAAATACCCTTTGTAGACAAAGCTTACCATAATTAGAAAAAGGGATTCTGCCAGTTTAAAAACAAGCCCCTCAGATCATAATGGTAGCCCTGGATGAATCTTACTCTTTCTTGTCTTATACAATGTCTTTACTCTCTTTAGATCAAGTGTGTAGCCTTAGGGTGGATAAAGTCTGAGAAACCGGATGGTCTTGAAATAATAGAATCTAAAGGGCTGTGATCTTCTAGATAATATCAAATCCTCTAATTCCTATTGGAAACCTGGCTGAGAACTTGGGAATTCTTGTCTTCCTTTCATTTCTTTACTTATTTTACCACTAAATTCTTGTCATTTATAAATTTATAATGAACTAAGAGGCAACCGCAATAATGGTCACAAGGCCTTTCAATTTTAGTTCAATTTCAATTAATTGAATGCACATTATTGCATTTAAAATCTATATCAGAACAGTTAAAGAGTTGTGTGTAGTGCAGACATCATATACAAACATAGTTAACCTGCAGTTATATAGTGTATATAGTGTCCTTTCAAAAAAAAGTGATGTACATGTTCCGTGAAGTGTACTGTGCATGTATTGTCCTCAAAGTCCTTGGATGGTTGGCATCATCTTTTTACAGGTCTTGAATCTGATCAAGTGGCTCTAGAGGCCTCGCAAAATCAAAGAACCCAAGCATAGATCTTTAGCAATAACCCAGCTTTTTTTTTTGTTCTTGAAGAATTTATAGCAGCTGCAGTCCACTCTCACTTTGATGACTGTCCCGACTCCCACAGCCACTTCTGTTTTCATGGCACATGTCGTTTTCTCATCCTGGAGGAAACACCTGCATGTGTGTAAGTTCTGAAGTTCTCTTTTTCATGCTGAATCGAAATAATTGGTTGTTTTAAATGCATTGCACTGATTGTGTTTTACCTGACATCTCTTCATTGTTAACAGTATTAATGTTCAAATTGGAGCTTTACTTTCAAATTTGATTAAGTTTCGTGAGTTCACCATGCGTGCTTCCAAACTATGTAGAAATAATGTTTATGTAAGGAGATATGCATGTCTAAATTCATCGTATTGTTAAAATTCTTGGCAAAAGTACTTGGATTACTTATTACTTCTGGCAAGATTCTGAAGAGCACATCCGGTAAACATTTTATTATTTACTAGCAGTTTTGCAGTAGAGTATTTATTTGAGCATTTTCACCGCAGGGCAGAGTTTAAAAAAAAAATCCTCCATTAAAGCTTTATAACTAATAAGTCATGATCCAAACCAACTAACTACTAAACATCTTTAATGAGTTTCAAAACTACAGTACATAAGGTATTTCAAATGGCACAGTCAAAGGAAAAACAAATGGGGGAAAAATAAAGCAATTAATTTAAAGCTGTACCTATAGAAACATTATATTTCAAGTTTAATATATAATATGCATGTGTGTAAAAAATATTTTATAATTAAATACACACATATTGTAAGTGTATAGGATACAGTATGTTACTTGCAGTCCTCTTTTGGAGGGTTTTCGGTAGAGCATTATTGATAGTGTAGTGTTACAATAGTTGAATTGGTGATTATTAAAAAACATGAATAACAAATTAACAACCTCAGAGCTCACAACAAATCTGTCTTTAAAATGTACCTTTTATTATACACCTGCACAATATTGTAAAAATTTAACAATGTGATATTTTATTGTACTGGGACTGTACAATTTCTTATCCCTGAATCCTTTAAAAAGCCTCATAGTCACAAAAAAAAAAAAAAAACACACACATGCAGAGGATAAATTATAATCCAGACTTAACATTGCATATCAGGGCAGCACGATACTAGAAAAAACAGACAATATTTTATTTTTCTACAATATATATTGCGATACTGAATATATAATTTCACCAGATGAAATGAATAGCTGTATTTGGAAACAATTCATAATTTTCTGTATATTGGGGTGATTTCATAAGAGAGTGCATCTACATAAAGTATAATAGACCAATCACAAACATTCAGAAATACAGTAGAGCAATGATACTGTACAAATTAAATATATGGTGCTTCAGGATTTTCTGGAAGTCTAGCAATATTCAGAAAGATACACAAATTTAATAATCAAATGTAAAACACTTTATAGTCTTCATCATATATTCAGTTGAAGTCAGAATTATTACCTCCCCTAAATTATTAACCCCCTTATTTATTTTTTTCCCCTAGTTTCCCTTTAACGGAGAGAAGATTTTTTTCAACACATTTCTAAACATAATAGTTTTAATAACTCATTTCTTGGAACTGATTTATTTTATCTTTGCCATGATGACAGTGAATAGTATTTTACCAGATATTTTTCAAGACACTTCTATACAGCTTAAAGTGACATTTAAAAGGTTAACTAGGTTAATTAGGTTAACTAGGCAGGTTAGGGTAATTAGGCAAGTTATTGTATACCGATGGTTTGTATGTAGACTATCGAAAATAAATACAGCTTAAAGGGGCTAATAATTTTGACCTTAATTTTATTCTAACTGAAATAAAACAAACCAGACTTTCTCCAGATAAAAGAAATAATATCAGATGTACTGTGAAAATTCCCTCGCTCTGATAAACATAATTTGAGAAATATTTAAAAAAGAAAAATAAAATCAAAGGGGGCTAATAATTCTGATTTCAACTGTGTATACCAAAAATACAATTAATCTTTCTTTAAAGTTAGAAATATTATTTCTTATGCCTGAATAGTGACATCACACAAAGGATAAATATTCTGGTAACCTTATGGTTAATCAAGAGTGTTTTCAATTATGATTCAATTACAAATTTTAAAACTGGTTTGACATTGCAGATCCTGCGACATTGACATTGGCGAGATCGGTTATGCATATATTGCATATATGCATATATTGATGGTGAAACAATATATTGTGCAGCCCTGTTTCATATCCTGCGACGTGACTGTTGCGAATGACAATATAAATCACTAATATATTTGTGCAGCCCTATTTTATTGTTTACGTTTTTTCCCATAAAGAAATTCTGACAAAATCAATGGAGATTTTACTTCTGGGACTAGACTATTATGCTCCATAGATGAAGAGTCACAACTGTGATGAAGCAAAGTAGTATGTACTGTTTTATTTAGTACGTCACCACTGTATATGTAATCAAATATTGTGCATCTTAATCAAAAAGAAGATTTCAAATATACTAATCCCATGATGGAACTTTAGGTTAGATTTACCACAAAACCTGATTTGGATTCAAATGTTTGTGCCTTTATTGCACGTACAACATATTTTTTATGTAATAACAGGATTAGAATCGGAAATGCTAAAAAAAAAAAATTGGATTTAAGCTGCCGGTGTAAAGAAGTCTAAACGGGCTGACATGCATTTTGATTGCTGACTCACTTGGATTAATTGTTGCCGACAGCATGTTCCTTGAGCCGTCCTTGTGTAGACAAGCATGTTTTGTCCTTTGCTAAATTGCTTTTGCATGTAAACATTTGGCACAGTAGCAGGATTCAAGTCAGTGTCTGAATTTGTACGAGTTTTCTTCTTCCGCATTCATATGTAGCAGTTCATAGTAAAACGTCAAATGAATGAAAATCAGTTTAAGTGTGATTGGTTTCATAAAGATGATTCACATGGCTTTATGAAAAAGATTCCTCATTTTGTGACTAAACACTTTACTAAATGCATTCTTTTTCTTGCATACTGGGGTTTAATTCAATTCAACTCATCTTTATTTCTATAGCGCTTTTACAATGAAGATTGGGTCAAAGCAGCTTAACATATAAGTTTTGATAAATTCAAACTGTGTCAGTCCAGTTTTCAGGGTTAAAGTTCAGTTCAGTGTGGTTTAATTTTCACTGCTGAAAGTCCAAACACTGAAGAGCAAATCAGTATTATTCATCTCCCTTTTGAGTAGTAATGAAACGCATTCTGATGTAATTTATTATTATTTTTTGTAGATGCCATCCTGGCTTTGTGGGCATGCGGTGTGAACATGCAGATCTCCTAGCAGTGGTGGCATCAAACCACCGGCAGCAGACCGTGGCCACCATGCTGGTGTTGTGTGTGGTGGGCAGTGTCATGCTCATGCTGATCTGCACTTTACTTAAGTAAGTATTATTTATTTAGAACACATTTCAATTGTACTTTACTATTTAAAGTGACATCGGCAAATCTAAAAATCTATGAAATGGATAAAAACAATATTCAGAGGTATTTCATTAAAATCATGTAAAATAGGTAAAGGTCATGTAAAATGCTAAATCATTTATACTCTCTAAAGTGTAAGTTCAGTTGAATAATTCAATAATTGATGAGGAATCCCATTAAAATGATCTAATAATTCATCTGAAGTACGATGTTAATCTGGAGTATGTAATGTAAAATATACTTTTTGATCCACAAATATAAACAATTTTGTGTCCAAAATGTTTTTATTAACAACTTGACAGAAAAAAACAAACAAACATCGTACAAGATTTTATTCGATTTTAGCTGATTTGATTTTTTTTTTATTGACAAATAGATAACGCCCGATTCAGACAGGGCTTCAGCGTCAACCCTTCCCATTCACTTTAAATGGGTGACGTCAAGCGTTGCCGAACTAAATTGTGGATATATCAGCACCGCCTCCTTGTGATCCATTTGAAACAACAGTGTGTAAAGCTTGTGAAGTGAATAGGCTGTATAGTAATGGTTTGAAGGACAGGATAATTATTAGTATTTAGGTAATTAGTATTTTGGATTTTCACTGAGAGTCTTTTACTATGCAATCAAATGATTCTTTTTTTATTCATGCCTAACATGATTTTTAGTTTTGTATATAGTATTTAAGTTATTTATTTATTTGTTGGTATAAATATTACACTAAATTACATATCAATGAGTGTATTAAATAAATCAATATAGGAAAAATAGCTGAAATACCTGTCATTATTATTTTTCAACACATTCTAATAAAAATATTTTATTATTTAAAATTTGTTTTGATGCTGTTTTTGTTTAACATTGTTTATTTGTGTGTATTTTCATAAAGTGTCATTTTTGATCAGACATTACTTTAGTCTTCAATGTCACACAGCCCTTCAGAAATCATCCTCAAACCTAATACATAATTAAAGCAAGTGATCTCTCCCAGGCTTATTCTGTTTACCAGTTTGTGCTGAATGAACAGTACATTACAATCGTTCTGTAAAAGGTGAAAGAGGTCATTTTCACACATTTGTCTGTGCAGTTGTTGGTGGAGACGGGGTGGTTGTGGGCGAGGTCACACCCTCTCCTGTTGGACGGAGAAGCCTAGGAGTATTTTGACGAGTGGGACATCCTGCTGTAACTCAGAAACAGGTATTCCGGTGCTACATTTCCATTTTTACACCATTTTTATGCTGAGCTGTACGGTCGTGTGTTAAATGTCCTGCCGTGTGTAATTATGATCATCAGGAGGGGGTGTTTGCATTGCTGAGACCAGCATATGCCTGACGCGCCTTTAACTTTTAATAATCTATGATTTGGGTTTAAGCTGTTAGTTTAGCCATCTGTTGTCACATTCTACTTAGACCGTCAATGAACAGGAGACTAATGGGGGTGTAGAAAGTTTTAATGTAAGTTGGTCATGGGAAAACATAGGATTATAAACTTTGATTTTAAATCTGTTGGAGCTTGTAAACATATCTAATTTAAATAATTAACTCCTAATTAAGAATAAAACATTATTGTAAAAAAAAATATAAATAATATATATATATATATATATATATATATATATATATATATATATATATATATATATATATATATATATATATATATATATATATATATATATATATATATATATATATATATATATGTATGTATGTGTGTATATATATATATATATATATATATATATATATATATATATATATATATATATTTTTTTTTTTATTTATTTATTTATTTATTTATTTTTAATTTATTTTTTTAAATAAAATAAAATTTAAAATTATATTAAATGCTAAATTTATATTCATTATTATATTTATTATATTCATAATAAATTAGATTAAAAAAACTGAAAACTTTATTAAATTTGTACTGAGCCAAAATGTTTATATATATATATATATATATATATATATATATATATAAATATATATATATATATATATATATATATATATATATATATATAAATAATTAAACAAATCAATAAATGAAAACACCTTTGAAAAAAAATACATGAAAAAAACAAATTTTTATATTTAAGCGTTTGGATAAAAAGATTAGTTTTAAATAAATATTTTTTTTATCAGGTGTTTCTAAATCTCTCTAATACCCTGTGAGTATATATGTCCCATGTCTCCATGTGTAATCCCTTCGAGGAACTGAATTTCCCCAGTCTAAATGATGCAATTAGAGGTGGAATTGGTGGAATTCTGTCCATACAAACACCCTCAGTTTTCAGTGGCAGTCTGCTCACAGTGCAGCTTGTTGACAGAGAACCACACCGCTCTAATTAGATTTGTCGACAGGATGTTGTCAAATACTTCGTCAGTATCGTCAGGCATTTCTAATTGTTCGATAGAATGGTGGCTGTGTTTCCACAGTAACGTACCATAACATTTGCATGTATCAGGTTGAAGTAAAACACTGTGCCATGTTTGTCTTACATGCGTGTGTTTTGTCAATTCTCTCTTGCGCTTCCATCTTGTTGTCTTCTCACCTCATCAGAAAATGTTCCTTACGCACAAGGTACTAATATATGAAACAACCCATGATAGATTTTTGTCTTTATCTGGTACAATAAACGTTGTAAACAAAAGCAGTTATGCACCGATTGAAATGGCCAATTACAATTTAGATTTATTTTTCTATACCAATCAATTATTTCTATACCAAACCAAATCATTCCTTCTTTTACGACTAGAAAACAACAAGAAAATCTAATGATTACACGAACAAGGTTTTTATTTGCTTTATGGCTGAACAATCGTCAGTTATTTAAAATAAAAGTAAAGCGCTGCACTTTGGTTCTCCTATCTGGTTTGTACTTCTCTAAATGAGAAGCTAAATAATAGTGACTTCAAAAGTGACATGTGTAATACTACAAGGCTTGTTACCGGGAAATATATAATTCCACCTATTTTGCTTGCCCAAGTTTTATATGGAGAAGCTTCTGTGCTGCTATTGGTCAGCATAGAAGCTTTTATGTGAAAAACAGAAATATTCTAATCTTTCTGTTATCGATTCCAAAGTCCCTTTAAGGCAAGTCATTTCACTCGATGGCCATCTTTAAAACACCTTTCGGGCATTCTGTTTGAATGGGGAAACATCAAATTCTTCAAAATTGCTTGCCAAGCTTTCGATTAAATTTCATATTGGGAATCACCCATAAAATAAAACAACAACCAGTGTTGGGGAAAGTTGTAATGGATTACAATATTGAGTTACTACCCAAAAAAGTAACTAGTTGCGTTACTTAGGGCCCGATCACACCAAACACGCTTATCCGTTTTAAAATTGCGAGGCTCACCGCAATGACTTTTTGTTGACAAGGAAAAAAAGAAGCGCAGTGCAATTTTATGTCGCTAGGCAATGACTGAATCTGCTGGGTATTGTGCGAGAGTGTTTCTGTTGATACAGGTATAATTTTAATATTTAATATTATTGTGAAATTCAAGATTTGTGCAGTCATACAGCAGCATACACCAAAAACAAAGCAACCACAAGTCTCAACCACTAGTCTTTTTCTTTATCTTCAAAACTCTTCGTAGTCTTCTTGATAACACAAACACTACTGTCACCTCAATGGAAACCCCACCTCTGCTTTCATTTGATTGGAGAATGAAAGAGACGCGACTGACGCAATGCGTTTTTTTTTTCGCTCAGAGTTGACTTTTTTGCAACAGCAAAAAAATTAAAGTGCAGCAGGCAGTTAAAAAACGAGGCCCGTAGAGTGCATAAGCAGCGTGCAAAACGTTTGTGCCTCTCAACACAAAAAGGGCATTCAGTGTGATCGGCCTCTTAGTTACTTTTTATGGCAAGTAATGCGTTACGTTACTTTTGCGTTTTTCTGACCTGGCTGAGGCTTGATTTTTTTTAATTATTTTTTTTGATGAATAGAGGAGCTCTGCAATTAATAACACAGTGTATGACCTTTATTTACCTTTAAAATAACACTTTAAAATGTATGAAGGATAATGTGATCTTCAGAGAACTTCCTTACCCAGAGCTCTACATGGCGTATATATAGATTAATGAAAGTTTAAAGCAATGCATTTGCTAATTGTCTATTCAGATAATCCTCTTTTCCTTGTCTTTCATGTAATAATAATGTCAAAATAATGAGAATATTTCCATCACAGAAATGTAAGGCCATCTTGGTTTCTTTGTGTTCCTTCATTCTCTCATTGCATGCTGGATTTTATTTTATTAAAAGGGAATTAACTAAACTGAAAAGTAACTAGAATTACAGTTTAAGTAACTTAACTTATTATTACTTATTTTTTAAAGTAGTGCAGTCCTTAGTACTCGATACTTGGAAAAGTAATATTATGTAACACTCTTTGCTTATAATGTATTATCCCCCAACACTGACTACAACTGTCTCTAGTTCATTTCTAAATGTTCGAATCACACAAATTCTGCAGAAATTCACGTCTCCTCTGAGCCCCTCCCCTGGAGAATTCTGTAATAGTAGGTGGGGCTTCATTTGCCATATTGGCTGTTACACTTTTCCCCATTCAAAACTATATGAGTGACGCGTCTTGTATGTTCTACACTGTAAAAAAAAATCTGTCAATTAATAGTTTCCATATTGTTTGTTTTCTGTTTATTTGCGGTTGTGAATTGCATTATGGGAGCTTGATTTCTGCTCTGTTGACTTTTAATGTTGAAAATTCAACTCTACAGTTTAACAAAGTGACTTTTATTGACATTTTAGTAGCTTGAAATAATACATTTACATTTAGTCATTTAGCAGACGCTTTTATCCAAAGCGACTTACAAATGAGGACAAGGAAGCAATTTACACAACCAAGAGCAACAATGAATAAGTGCTATAGACAAGTTTCAGGTCTGTAAAGTCTAAAAAGGGAAGTATTAGTAGTATTAGTTTTTTTTTTTTTTTAAATATATAGAGAAATAAATCTGTGAAACAGCAAAAATGTATTGGCAGCATATTACAAGGTTTTTGTATCGTAATATACGACACCAATCCAGAAAATATGTCACTAAACTATTAAAATGTTAATAAAAGTAGTTTTTCAAACATTTTATGATTAAAAGTTGATCAAGGTCTCATAATGCGATTCAAAGATATAAATAAACTGGGGAAAAAAAATAGAAACATGAATTACAGAATACGCAAACCTACTAATTCACAGTTCGATTTTATAGTGTATAGTCGATTTTCAGTGTGTGCCATTGTCATTTACAAATCGTGCCGTATGTAAAAAGTATCTTGTGCCAGATTTGGACTGATAAACTGTAGTCTGAACCCAGCATTAGAGCAAACCCTTCCATTTCCCTTCCTCTCATGTGGGAAAGAAATGTTTCCGCATGGTTTAAAATGACTTTCTTTCTTTTTTCATTTGTGTGTTTTCCTGTGCAGTGGTTTGACGCAGGTTTTCTGGAGCTCACTCAGGTGCCCTCTTAAAACAAAAAAAGACAGCAACATCTTCCACCTTGCTCCTGGACTTTACAATGACTGCGTTTCCTAAGCTACAGACTTGCAGAGCTGGTAAGCGCAGCACATGTTCAATATGGGCAGTGGGAGAACTCGAGCAAACATGGGACTTTTATATTCAGAGAGACTGAGTAGTTCCAAAAAGAAGATTGTTGGAACAGTAACTGCTAATGATGGAACTCAAAAGCTCGGAATGGAAAAATCTGAACAAAATGGAACTCGACTACAGAAGATACTCGGCCATTTTGGGGAAAAGATATGGATCTGTGGCTTAAACGAGAGTGAAAAACTTTGAGAGAGGTTTTAACGAAATCATTCTTACTAACAGAGCTTATCTTAAAGCTTTATAGTGTATGTATTAGACAACATTCTCCCAGTCTTTGTTTTTTAAATACTCAATATATCAAAACACACTTATAATCTGCCGTTAATGGGATGTGAAACTCACTTTAAAAAAATCGTTTTTATTAAGGATATATCATCACATTCTTTTCTCTATCACGTTACGGCTAAAGAATGGGAGATTTCTTTTCTTACCATTTAAGTCAGTTAAGCAGTTAGTAATACTACAGAATATTTTGCCAATTTATTTTAACTTAATCTCTTTATAATGCTGATTTAAAGACGAAAAACAAAGTGTAACAGCTAACATGAGAGACCAGAGCTTTGAGGGACAAATCCTACTTCTGACACGTTATTCTTTAACACTTTTTATCTGAATGGAGTTTCATTTTTTTATGTGCGTTTTAAAATCTAAATATTGGTGAACAAGTCACAATTATGACATGTAACTTGACAAGTTATGCATAGATTCACGAATCCCACACAAGATTTTCTTCACCTAATGTGCTTTCAAAGATTTCTCAACATCTCTAAATGCTTTGGAAATGGATCCTCTGTATGCGCACTATTTTTGAAGCGTCACATGATATCTGCATGTTCACACTGAATGCATGCGTGTTTGAGCACATAATTACACACAATGCACTTTTGCGGTGTAGATTTCCACCTCACTGTTAATACAAACCACCTTCAAATCTGCACTTTAGATCCTTTTCCATTATAGGCGTCACTCACTCACAATTGTAAGCATACAGAGGCGCAGATCCACGATATAAGCAATCATAATGGATGATGTTCAGTTTGATGCACGTTGTATTATGCAAGATATATAGAAGCTTTTACACTGAAATGTTTTAAACCGTGTTCATTTTGCTTTCTTTTCTAATCTTATCTGTCCCTAAGCTTTTGCCAATGACCTCATGTTATAAAAAGATGTTCGACTGACCCCTTTGTAAGGTATTTGCTCTTTTAGGGTCAGAGATATTTATATTGATATGTTAAAATGAGGTGCTGGTACATATATAAAGTAACCACTGTGGGTTGCATTCATACAAAACCCTTCTCAAGCTGGTAAGTGGCTGATATAGCGCTTAAAAAAAAAGATAAATATTGATAAAAATACTAATAATTTGATCAGATTAATGATCTGACTGTTCTGGCATCAGATCATGAAGGAAATATGTGATGTTATTGTGTGAAGATTCATTTAAAAATGTGATCTAATGCCCTAGTGAGTTGAAGAGGATTCATCTAGGTGGCTTTTTTGAGTTATCAAGTCTTTAAATGATTTTGATCAGCCTGAAAAAACTGGTTCAAATGGTTTATGATCTAGTTGGCTGACCCTGATATGTGACTTAAAGGAAACATTCACTCAAAAACACTCATTTGCAGTTCATTTATTCACTTTTTGATCAATCCAAAATGTAATGTAGGATGTAAAAAATGTTTTACAGTCTTTGGTGATTCATAGTGAATGGCTACTAGTGCTTTGAGAGTCTAACGCATAAAGCACAGGTCTCAAACTCAATTCCTGGAGAGCCGCAGCTCTGCACAGTTTTGCTCAAACACAGCTGCTCCAACTAATCGAAGAGTTCAAAAGAGTCATGAACACCTTCATTAGTTGGATCAGCTGTGTTTATGACTCTTTTGAACACCTCGATCACTTGGATAAGCTGTGTTTGATAGGAGCAAAACTGTGAAGAGCTGCGGCCCTCCAGCAATCGAGTTTGGGATCTATGACATAAAGGGAAAGCCAAACGAATTCCTTTGGCTCCTAATGACACACTGATGTCTTATGAAGCGAGTCTGTCATTTGTAGAACAGACTCCAAATGATTTGTGTGTTGTATTGGTTGTGGAAATGGTGATTATGATGATGCTGGATGATGCAACTTGTGATAATATTAATGATCAGTTCATGTTTGTACGCATGCGATTAAGTGGCTGTGAGTTTAAGGTAAAAGATTTGGAAATGTTTGTTGTTTCCGCTTCATAAGACTTCAATGGCATGGGTATTTACTTTGCTTTACCTGTATGTTTATTTGGACTCTTGAAAATGTTTAACTTGGACTTCATGAATCATCAAAGATCAAGGCTTCAGCTAAAAATGTTTAATGTCCTACTGAGGAGAATGAATGACCTGAGGGTGAGTAAATTAACATAATTTGATTTCTGAGTGAATTTTCCCTTTAATTATAAACTTTTGATTTATTATAAAATTGCAAAATGTGATTGATTGTACATGGATTGAGTATTCTTCATGTAAAAAAAAGAAAAGAAATTGTGCATACTTATGTTTGACTTCAGATTAAACCAATTATTATTTTTGTTAAAATGATAAATCAAACAGTGGGTATTTTTGACGCTTTTTCCTTGCGTAATCTCCAGATGTGAAATTGCACTCATCTGTGATAGTCATGATGATGTCATAACGGATGATGTTCATTGGCCTTTGCACCAGTAATGATGCTCAGTGTTGCATCTTTTGCTTTCTTCCAACTGAATCGCATCTAACTCTGGTTAGCTGCTTGTTGACTGATATTTATGTATGCTATATTGTACACACCATGTGTTTTTCACACAGTCTTCTTGTTTTCATGTTGGGGGAGGCGGGGAGGGGAGACTTTGTAAATAGCGTTTGGGAATATTATTTGGCTCGTACTGTATATGGAGTATGAGGTGTTTTCTTGACGGCATGAAGGTAAGCGGTAGATGATTTGAGTGTGACTGTCTCATGCTTGGCTGTTTGACGTTTTCTTGAGTGTTTTTGACCTCTTTGTCTAAGTTTGCATATTTTTCCAAATAACACAAAGTGCTGCAATCTGTGGACTCGACCTCTTTCTTTCGATTGGGATAATTTCTCCTTTCATCAGATGTTTTATGAAGCACATTCTTTCCTCCTTGGCACTCTGTCCATTTATATCCTCAAACATCTGAATATTTTAAAAGGGTCAAATGGAGTTGCAAACCCCGGGCACAGCTTAGCAAGAAGCCAGAGTGCTCTTTTTGCTGAGGGAAAAGTTCAGCTCTTTTATTTACCTGCTTGCCTGTTTGGTTATTTGTTTGTTTGGCTAAACCTTTTGTGAGAAGAGGGGAAAGGCCCTAGAGATCATGGCCGAGAGGAGTCGAGCTTGCGCATGAGTGAGCACATGAGGGGAAAGTGCGTGCCTGATGGACGTTGCATGACTTCTTTTATTTCCTTCTCATTAGCCTTTTGGGCTCTTACCCCCTTTCTGATTCAGTCCTCTCCATTTTATTCTATTTATAATATTTCTTATTCATAAAGTTCTTTTCCCTCCGTCACAGTGCCTATAAAGAAGCTTTAAAATACATGGAAACGTTTCACTGCAGAAACCCTTTAATAGATTATTAAATGCATCTTTTAAGTACTAATCAAAATGGTTCTTCTAGTGCACAAGTTTCAAACTCAGTTCCTGAAGGTGCCGCAGCTCTGCATAGTTTAGGTACAACCTTAATTAAACCCACCTGATCAAACGAATTGAGTCCTTTAGTTATGTTAGAAACCTACAGGTAAGTATGTTGGTGGTGGGTTGTGACTAAACTGTGCAGGGCTACAGCCCTCCGAAAGTAAGTTTGACACTCCTGTGTTGAACATGGACACCCACTAATCTTTATTCAAAGCAATGGTTCACCACAAAGATTAAATCACCTTCTAATTTACTCACACTCGAGCCTCCTTCAAGTATATATGAAGAGTTCAGAAGCGCAATTATGTTCTAAAATGAGCATTTTTCTCAGTCTCTCATGTTTATGTTTAGTTATTTCACTTTAAATGTGAAATGAAAACAATCTATTTGGCATAAAATTAAAATGACTGAACAGGAGCCTTAGAAAAATGCATAATTCAGAAGAAAATTTTTGATGGAACTCTTCATATGGACTGTTGGACCCCCTCTTCTTTCCCCTAAGTACACAACACAACAACCTCAGAACATTATGCAATTTTGAGTGTGCCTCACACAGGTGAGTGGGCTTGACAAACCACTTGTAGAAAACACACTCTTTTATATATATATATATATATATATATATATATATATATATATATATATATATATATATATATATATATATATATATATATATATATATATAAAATATAAAGGTTAAAATGACAAATTATTTTCTACATATAAAATATTCCTGCCTCCATGCCTCATCTCGGGGAGCTTTTACAGTTTATTCATGGCAATTTGCATTTATATGATGTTATTATTAGTAGTATTATTATTTATTAAAGGCATATTTATATTTGTTTTATTAAAAACAAGTTTAGATTTGTCCACCTGTTGGGTTTTGGAGACATATATGCGTCATATGGGGCATAGGTATAGGATTGGGTTTTGATATAACTCATTTTTTTGGACCACACTTCGTTATTATCATTCATTTATTCGTTTGCTAGAAATTAGAACTAAATTTAGAAATAGTTTTGAAACCAATTCTTGCGCCTAACAAATGAAATTTAAATATGTAGGCTAATGGATGTCTTCAGCAGAGTGTGTACAACACCGTTTCCTCATCCACAAAAGTAAAGGAGCAAAGTAAAGAGAGAAAGTAAAGAGGCCGAATGGAGGAGGCTCGTTCTTTATCCTCACGCCTCAGGTGGTTTGTTTAATGTTTACTAGATTGTGAAGCTAGTTTTTTCACTCATAAAGTCCATCAAGTAAATAGCAAATGTGCAATGGCGCAAAAAACTCACCTCTCTTAACTCTAGCACCTAATTCTCCGAGCACAAACAGTTCCTTCCGTATAATTAGCACATTTTGTGTGTATTACCTCTTGCTGAATGCCAATTGTAAGTTGCTTTGGACAAAAATGTCTGCTAAATCACTATACGTAAATATGACTTACCCGTCAGATGAACACAGTCGGGTAGTTTTAAGTTGCATCCTGGCACTTCCATGCTGTATAATATGGTATAAAATGGCTTTTATTTTGAGGGTTTCAAAAGCACATATATCTGTCATCAACATAACTCGTATACCACCAGGAGGTTAAAGTATGTCTTAGGAAGTGGAATTTGTGGAACAGAAATATTACAAATTTTCAAATTTTAAACTCCAATCACTGACTTCCTGATTGTGTCTGAAATAAAACTACTTCATAACAGTTAGAAAAGTATGTTATAGTATAAAGATTAGTAGTGTTAGTTGTCCTTTTTACATGACATTATTTGCACAACTTCACTTCCATTCATAAATCCCATTCTGAGGCTTTATGAACTAGTAAAGTATTCATTGGATGCACACTTCAGAATCTAAGCAGACATACAGTAGTAGGTCATCTAGGAACTTCTCGATTACTCTGTTGTTATGTATTGTCACACCTACATATTGTTTTTCACACTTTGTTTAGCAAGGAAGTATGCAATTTCAGACACTTATGACTGTCTAGATCAAACAATTGGCTACAAGAGGTCATTATTTTCCCATGGAAAATAGTGCTGAATCTGTGTTGAGCTCTGATCATCAAAATTGCCTGATCCAATTTGATCTGTGAGCTGAATTTTGAGCGTCTGCAGCAAGAATTGTTTGTGATCATCTTACTGGATGTGATGCAGCAAAACAAAGACAAAATTTGTGTTTATACACTTAGAAATAAAGGTATGAGAGCTGTCACTGAGGTTGTACCTATTCAACAGATGCATATTTTGTACATAACGGGTTGATATTGATATCTCAAAAGGTACAGAAATGTACCTCTTCAAATTTGTAGGTTCCAATATTAAGTTCAAATGCGTACCTTGTGAAAAGGTACCACCGCAGTGAAAGCTCTCATATCTTTATTTTGGAGACTGTAAGAAGCTTTCAAAACTTGAAAGTTTTCATTTCTGGCCAATCTTTTCTTTTCAATGCCATCACAGTGCACTTTAATTTCTCATCAGAGATCATTGAAATAGTTTGGCCCATTTAGGGGGACATATGCAAATTGGTGAAAGTTATTAAATATATTTGAATTATACATAATGTTTTACAGTGGAGAAACAGTTAGACAGACTCTGCATTGCTTTCATAGACTTTGGCTATCACATGTATTCAGGATTGGTAGAGCTACGCATCGATGAATTTGCTCTTCAGTGTTTGAACTCTCAGTAGTGATTTTAAATCACACTGAACTGAGCTAAACTGAACTTAAACACTAAAACTGAACTACACTGTTCCAGTTACTATGACCATTTATGTGAAGCTGCTTTGACACAATATACATTGTAAAAGCGCTATACAAATAAAGCTGAATTGAATTGAATATTTTAACTCCACAACTCTTGACTGGCAGATGATGTTATAGTAATGAAACTGTATTGGCTTGTTTTTTTTTTTTTTTATAAAGTTTTTGTTGCTTGTTCAAGCTACTTATTTTAAAAGAGCTAAAACAACAAAGTCTTGGATTATTTTTTGGGGGGAAACTTAATTATTTTATGTTAAATCTACTTAATTAGTTATGTTACCTTAATTGATTTGTGCTGGGACAACATGAAATAATTAAATCATTATTTATATTGACAAGTCTGCTTTACACTACTGGTCAATAGTTTGGGAACAGTAGGATTTTTAAATGTTTTAAAATAAGCTTATACTGCTCACAAAGGCTGCATTTATTTTATTTAATTGAAATACAGTACAAATTAGGAAATGTGTTTACACTATAAAATAGCTGTTGATTTTAATTTAATTTATTCCAGTGATTTTAAAGATGACTTCAGCTTCATTACTCTGTTATTATTGTTATTATAATTATTGTTATTATTATTAATGGTGATAGTAATAAAATCAATAATGACTGGAGTAATAATTTCATGTGAAACTACATACAATAACTAAGCAGTTATTTAATTTTTTTATTAATATTTAACTGTTTAACATTATTATTTTTTTTACATTTAAATAATAATTTTCTTACAAATAAAGAAGGTAACATTTTATCATGGTAAAAAAAAATCCTGCTGAGAACAACTTTTAGATGAAAACAATGTGCTGCACATTTTCCTCTCAATAGCAATATAAAAGAAAAATGCGAGCAGTGAGATGAACAGTAACGTCCATGTGAAATGAAAATTTACAATGTTTGTTTAGCTGTTTATTAGGTGAACAATTATTCCCTCAAAGTTAATCCACTGAAGAAAAAAAAAGTTTGTGTAATCAAAGTCTGACCATTGCCTTCCACATTTAGTGTGGCGGGCCTTCTCTGTTGACGTCAGTTTGGCTACAGCAATCCTAACTAGGCCCCTCTTACCGTTAGTAATTCCTAAAAGGGAAAGATGCTAAAAAGAAAGCCTTTTACTAGCCTAATGTTCACAGACAAGATTAGTATAATTAAAATGACAATGATATGACAGTTTGAGACCATACTCCGGATATGTACTAATAGTGTAAATATATTCCCTTCTTTTCATAATGTATTAGTTCCTTTTAACAGACGTTTATGTAAAGCTACTGATAAATTACAGGGAATAGATGTTAACAGACCCCATTTTAAAAATACTGTAAGATTTTCAGAATGGAAAGTTGTGACATCATTCATTCATTTTCTTTTCGGTTTATTAATCAGGGGTCGCCACAGTGGAATGAACCACCAACTCATCCAGCATGCGTTTTGTGCAGCGCATGCCCTTCCAGCCAGTTGTATAAGATAATAATTGTCAGAATTCTGTTGTGTAATGAGTGCGGTTTTTAATTTACTGGTAAATTATCTCTAGTTATTTCACAGCAGATATTGTGTGAAGGGAAATATTGAAATTATAAAGCAGAATGACTCTTTTTAGCATTATTCTGAACATTCTACAAACATTCACTTCACATCATAACATTAGCTCCTTTCACACAGAATTTCCCCATAAAATATGCTGTTTTTTTATTTTTATTTACCACTAAAGTCATTCTAATTTTCAGGAAATTCAGTGATTGGTGTTATCAGTGCTTGTTAGCGTCAAATTTTTTTTAATTTTCCCATCAAAAACATTGTTTTGTCTACAAAATTAAAAAATTTGTAGCCCATTATCAGTATAATTCCTTTCTTCCCAACATAATTTCGCATATTTCATCTAACTGTTCTTAATCTGCATCTCCTCTCCCTTTCTTCTCCTTCACGATCCTCAGTTGATGCATCTGCCAATCCCATTAGGGTTTTCAATTGGATTGCAGCGCAGCCCCTCATAGCCGACTGGCTGAGCCTCTAAAGCCAGCTTTGTTTTAAGCGCTCTGCTGAGGGAACTCCGTAAGATCCACAACACGCTTACGGAGCAATGAGCATATAGAAACACACACAAAAGTAGGATATATTCCAGTGTGTGTGAACAACACCTGAGGACATTCAACAAGAGTCCTGCTGGTGTTTGTCCCTGTTTCATAATCTTCTGAGCATAATCCAAATTCCACAGTGGAGTACGATATGATATGTATTCTTATTTTTGTTGGCATGTCAGTTTTGGCCCAGTTTAGCGATTGTCCAAGAGCTGATATCTGTGCTGGAGCAGATGGAGAGGAATAAGAGTATTTGGGTATTAGGGTTAAGCGATCTCCCTCGTCACTGTGAGCCCAGGCAGCTTCTGCGCTGAAACAATGATATCAGCACTCTACAGAGACTACTTCTATTGTTTTTGATGGCATTATCTGAACTAGATATCGCTGGAGAATTTGTTATGTGGCTCATGGTGCCAATGGTGTGAAAAAAGAGAAAGAAATCTATTATATAAACGCTTGTGCTTGTTTTTCAGCTGATGTTGTCCGACAATGCAAATCCAGATGGTTCAGCTGTCACACCATCTTGCACTAATAACATCCCCCAGTCTGTCCACTTCATTAGATCTACAGCAGCGCCATCTGCTGGTCAGCACTCAAAACATTTCGAACCCAGTGGGGTATTTGCACACGGACTTTTGATTTCAGTCAGCCAGCCCCAGGGCTTCCGGTGAACTGTCATCCCATACAAAATCGCAGAGTGAGAGGTAGAGCACTCACTCTGGTCCCCCGGGCTCTGCGCTAGTTGGGGAAATTCTGAATTGAACCAAAACACTCCATTACAGTTGGCTTAAGATCGGCAACCAAAATCCGGGACATTGCAACCTGCAGAACTTGAGAAATAAAAAAAAGCGAGTGCCTAGGTGAGATACAATACAAAGTGGGTATCAGACCAAACAAGAAACACTGAAATAAATGATGTATTTCCGGGCCATCTCCTTAAAATATGGAAATTAAGTTTACCACAGTATTTTCAATAGAGTGTCTGGACTAGCCTGCAGCTAAGGACGGCGCCTGCGTTTAAACGGTTTTTCTATCTCTTTTTACGTGTAAACAACCAAATGGACACTTGTGTCTATTTAACTGATTATATTTGAATTACATTACAACATTGATGCTGTAAAATGAACTTGAAAATTTAAAATATTCACATTAGGCTTTCACCGGAAGTTCTTCATTGGCTGAAAAACACTAGCTGTGCATTTAGCCCATTAGTAATGCCTGAAAGGTGAAACTATCAATGGCATACAAGGCACTCACTGCATTTAGGTATGTTGACGTGGTCAAGATCTGCTAAAACGCATCATTGGAATAGGGATTTAAAGAGATCCCTGCTGAAAAAAAAAAAACAGCATTTTGTATGTTTTTATGCTGGTCTTGCTGGTTTTAATGCTGGTCTCGATGCTGGTTTCAGAGCTGATCTTGCTGGTTTCAGTGCTGGTCCTAACCAGCATTGAGATCAGCATCGAGACCAGCACTAAGACCAGCAATAAAACCAGCATACCAGCATCAAAACATACCTTACAGCTTATGCTGTTTTTTTTTTTCATCAGGAATAGTTCAACAAAAACTTAAAATTCTGTCATCATTTACTAATCTTTGTCTTGTTCCAAGTCTTGTTTGGTTTAACACTGTAAACATTGACATCCATAATAGGAAAAAATAATTCAATGGAAGTCAATAGTTACTGGTTTTCAACATTCTTCAAAATACCTTCTTCTGCATTTAAGTGAACAACAACAAAAATCTAAAACTGGTTTGGAACGAGTCAAGTGTTCATAAATAATAATGATAAATCCTTACATTTATTATATAGTGCTTTTCTAGATACTCAGTGCTTTACACATTTTCGGGGGGAATCTCCTCATCCACCACCAGCGTGCAGCATCCACCTGGATGATGCGATGGCAGCCATATTGCACACCACACACCAGCTGATGAGGAGAGAAGACAGAGTGATGAAGCCAATTATGACATGGGGATGCTTAGGAGGCACAGATGCCAGAGCGCAAATTTGGCTAGGATGCCGGGGTTAAACCCCTGCTCTTTTTTTCGAAGGACATCCTGGAATTTTTTAACGACCTCACTGAGCAGTATAAGGTCCCCATCAATATACTGGGGCGTTAAAACCCACACAGCTGTCAGGCTCTCACAAACACCACTTTTGGCACAACCTAGCTTTCCCATGTGGTCTTCTATTCAGGTACTGACAGGACGCAGCTCTGCTTGGCTTCAGTGGATGACTATGTGAGAGTTGCAGAGAGCTAGCTGCCGTAAATGAGAGAATTTTTGTTTTTGTGTGAACTATCCCTTAAGTGACATTGAACTAGCATTTCAGAAATGGTTGCTCTTGAGATTTTCAGATTATAGCGAGAGAGATTATATTCAGTGAGCTGCACACTTTTTTTAATGCCTGAGGTTAGAGGAGAGTAGAAGGGCATCAGTATCACATACTCGTGTGGCTCCAAATTCACCAGATCTCAGTTCAACAAAGCAGCTTTAATATGTGGTGGATGGGAAATTCACACCATGGATGTGAAGCTAAGAAATCTTCAGCAACTGAGTGATGCCAACATGTCAGTATGTGCTAATGTCTTCCAGTACTTTCTATTCAATATTAAGAATTAAGTCAGTTCTGAATGGGGTCCAACCAAGTATGAACAAGGTGTACCTAATAAAGTGTCTAGTGAGTTTATATGTGGCACTATAGCTGTCAGTCAGTCATACCTAATGAATTTGAGAGCTGCATCATATCAAAATTTACTTTTAAACAAAGCAGTGGATAACAATTAGACAACTCAGTTATTCAAATAATTAAAGAGCAGAATAACAATTAAATAAAATGACAGTACATTACAGAATTAAATTAAATCTAAACTATATATTACACACACTCAGTCTGTGTTATGCTGCAGTCGAGCCGGTAGTTCATCTAAGCTTTGCAGTATATGCTCTGGAGGAATATCAAGGTGCGTCTTTTGACCGTCTTTTCTGTTGAGAAGGTAACCTCGAATTCCCAAAGAGCGAGAGGTCAGATAGTCTTTCACATAATGGTCCCCAACATGCACTACACTGGAGGCAGGAACTCCACACCGCTCCAGTGCTTGGCTAAATATGGCAGGGTCTGGTTTAGCAACCCTGGCGTCTTCTGAGGTCACAATAAATGAGAAGTGAGTGAGAAGACCGCATCCCCTCAGGATCCCTTCCAAACGCCTGTCGAAGTTGGAAACAACACCTTGCTTGAGTCCCAAAGCGGTGCAGGACTTCAGGGTGCTGTTAGAATCTGAAAACACCTGCCAGGCAGAGAACATCAGTCATGCTTACTTTAAAGTATCACGAAACACCCAAAACACATTTTAAAAGATATTGACAGTCATATATGTGTCTCACACTGCTCAAAACACTATAAGGACACATTTATTTCACAAAAACAGGGAAAATTGGTTTTTGTGTTATTTCGAGCAAATTCGTTCTTCCGGTTTGAAAATAAATTTTGAAGCTACGTCACAGCGATAAGATCATTGTGTAAATTCCAGCGTGGAGACTGGATGTCTATACTGGCGGGTACAATGTTTTGAGTTTTCATCAATTTAAGAGAAAGACTTGGTTCGAACCAATTAGCGCGCTCTATTGTGAATGAGGTGCAACTTCATTAATATGCATGATACAGCTTCGAAGACTGTTGCTACAATGTTCAGACGGCAGAGAGACGTCATGTTGTTTTGCCAATCGTAATTAAAACAAGTGGAAGAAGAATTGTTTGGAGACATGGGTTGTCAGTGTTGCGTTAATAAATGTTCTGTAACGAAGGTTTTGTTTTCGTTTCACTGCAATGAGAGTGCAGCTGGAGTCAAGTGTGGACCACAGTGGTCTGCTAACACGCGACAAAAATATGTTGTTAAAGAACTTTTTTTTTACCCAAGAGCTTTTTGTATCGGGGAATGGTGAAATCTGGATTTGCCACTCTTCTTTTAAAAAAGACGTAGTTCTAGTTCGTGTTATTTGTCCTGTCTCTACAGATTTGGTAAGTGTGTGAACAGTGTTCTCTGACATAGGCAAAGTTAGCTAGTATCGTCGGCAGTATTCTTTCAGTTTACATTCCTTAGTCAAAATGATTTGGTTACTAAGTTTACAGTACGTTAATATCACTACAACATTAAGCGCTGAAAGATCCACTGAAAATGCTGCTTTCTGAATGTAAACACCTTAATCAAACTATTATTGTCATGTAGGATTTTTGCCATATTTTGTGACAGGATAGTCTATACACACACGGCTGTTGGACACTATTCTCTGCACCTACCAAGTGCATCTAAGTTACCGAGAAATAAGGAGGATTTTTTCTCTCTCTCATACGGTGTGCAGTATCAAAAATTCCATAAAAAACAAGACTCTATCTGCAGTTCATCACATCCAATATCTTGTACATAAAACTCCAGGGAAAACGTGGATAGCCAGGTGACACGATTACGTTAATCGAATAATGTGCTATAACATGTAAAACAGTATCATGAAAGGAACATCTAAAAAGCAACTCCTCTAAACACCTAAATCATATTATTGTCCTATTCGATAAAGCGATAGTTCATCCCAAAAATTAAAATTGTCATCTTCACTTGTTCCAAACCAGTTGGAGTTTTTTTTCTATTTAACACAAAATAATATGTATATCGAAAAAAAGCTGAAAACTTTTAACCATTTGTTTGTTTTTTACTATCAAAGCCAGTGGTTACAGTTTTTTTTTTTTTTTTCAAATTACCTTCTGTTGTGTTTAACAAAAAAATAAGTCATAAATGAATATAACTACTCAAGAGTGAATACATTTTAAACTTTGGGTGAACAACCCCTTTAAAAATAAAGTGAAAATAATCAATAATGCTAGTTAGAAAAGAAAAATAGCCATACCTCCCAGTTTTCTGGTCCACAAAAGTTGTGATAGAGATTGTTGGCTAGTTTGTCCAGCAAAGCAGGATCATGGACCCCACACTGGCCAAAAGTGTCCCTCACTAGACCAGTCCACCAGACCTGGCTGTCCATGCCCTGAGCTCGGCCATAGTTTGGCAATAGCTGTGATTTTTGCTTGTAGGCCAGTCTGAAGGCAGTTTCCACCTGAGCAGGGGACAGCTGGAGTCCTGCTTGCTGAGCTTCTCTGCAGTACTGCTCTCCAACCGAGCGCCGCACCTTCAGCAAGGTGTCCTTCACATCCCACAGCACCCACCGCACCGGCACCCGCATTACCGAACACACTAAAATATCACACTTTTATAGAAGGTGAGGCATACATGACCTGCTGCAGAGGACACGCGGAGCGTTAAAAAACAAACACAGGGGAGACCGAAGGTAAACAGACTGCTAACTAGAAGATTAACAGTCGCTTGTCTCTAGGAGGCGCTTGGTGGCTCACAATATTATGATATTCAATATTGGTCTACTTTAAAATCTCAATATGTTTTTTTTGTGGAGTTAGGGATTGTTAAACCAATAAAATGAAACATTTTGAAATATGAAAAGGGTTTGATTTCAATATGAGATAGACGTTCACGCCATCAATCTAATGACTGGTTAACGCCGGTAAATCAGCTTGACTGTGATTGGGTCGTTCTTAACAACGTTGAGAAAAGTAACACATACCACTTAACGTGATTCGCTCTCTACCGCTGAGCTTTTTCTGGGCCACCGAAGTCTCGTCCATCTTGACAGCTCGCTCTATGCGGTAACAGCCTCTCTACTTATGTGACTGAACTGAAGAGTTCAACAGTACATATGTCCGTACAGGATTTCATCATGCAATTAAAGGTTCCTCATTTAATATAGCTTGAACGATCTATTTTTTATGGTGTTAAAATAAATGTTGAAAGGTTTGTTTCCCGGTTCCTATACAACTATAATGATTAAAAATATAAATCTAACAATCAATTACTCTGTCTATAGTTTATTACTTTATATACCTAATACAGAATAGGCAAAGTGCTAATAATTGTAACATATTTTAATTAAAACTTATTTTAATTCCTATTTTAGTGTTTAACAATGTTCTAAATATGTTATTTTACTTAGTCCACAAAGTAAGTAAAAATTAAATTAAATATATACATAAAAATAAAAGGAGATTCAAAAGTCTACACACCCTTCAATATTCACAACTGTTAATGCTTTTTCCAGTTGTTTATTAGTCCCAATTGTTTATTCTAAGAATTAAACCTGTCCATTGTTCTTTAGAGAAATGTCCAGGTCCTGCCCATCCTTTGGTTTTCTAACACTTGACCTATTTCTATATGATTTCTCATAACACTGATCTTTTCACTAAGAACAATAACACATCATCATCATCCATTACAATGTTCACATCTCCCTGGCTTTAAATGCATCTTTTGAAAATCAACGAACGGTCTGTTTTGTAATAGTTCTTTAATTGTCCTTTTCAGTCAGAAAAATTAAGCTTAAAAATACTGTCACTTAGGGAAAGGGTTTAAATGAGCAGTTAGAAAAGCTAAAATTGTGCAGGAGCTGAATTACTTTTCTGATGAACAGTTGATAATATTTATATATATATATAATATATATATAATATATATATATATATATATATATATATATATATATATATATATATATATATATATATATATATTTATATGTGTCTGTGTGTAAACGCTTACATTTTTCAATTATTTACTTTTTGGCTATTCAGGGATATGTACAGGGTTTCTACAGGTTTCATCGTCAAATTTACCACTTTTAAAGGCCTTTTTAAAATGATTATGGATGAAATTTCAGGCTTAAACAAGGCTAAACGCTAAGGATTTTTTCAAATGGCCCAGTTAAAACATAAAAAAAATCATAAAAACAACTGTTATTGTAAGGAAGATAATTAAACCATATATATATGAATAGAAATCTAAACAGAGTTAATAAATAAACTTAGTAATTGGATGGGTGTTGGTCCAATTGGGTAGCTTTAGACATAGGAAATTTAAGACCAATTTAAAATGATTTAATACCTACAACACAATATTTTGGTGAATTTAAGACTTTTAAGGGCTAAAATTAGGTGGCGCAGCCTCTCAGCAAGAAGGTTGCTGGTTCGAGCCTTGGCCGGGTCAGTTGGCTTTCCTCTGGAGTTTGCATGTTCTCCCCGTGTTCGTGTGGGTTTCCCCCGCAGTCCAAAAACATGCACAATAAGTGAATTGGATAAAAAAAAATTGTCCATAGTGTATGTGTGTGTATGGGTGTTTACCGGTGATGGGTTGCACTGAAGGGCATCCACTGCATAAAAAAACATGTGCTGGATAAGTTGGCGGTTCATTCCACTGTGGCGACCCCAGATTAATAAAGGGACTAAGCCGAAAAGAAATTGAATGAATGAATAAGGCCTAAAATTTGGATTTCGAATTGTAAGACTTTAAGACCCTGCGAATACCCTGTACGTAAACATGAGAAAACTATCTATGAATAAAAAAATAGATTAAACTTCAGAATAACGACAACCAGAATGTTGCTAAAATACACATTTAATGACACACAATAATGAAAACATAACAAATACATAAATTATAGTGAACAAGTAAATATGTCTCAGAACTCAAATCATTCCCAGTTGATTTAATTTTTTGTTCTCCCCTCATTCGGTTCTCCAGGTGTCTCTCTCTCCAGAATCATGTCAGAAAGTACATCCCGCACTCCACTCATATGTTCAGACTGAGTTTGCTCTCTGGTATCTGCGTCTAAGGTCATCCGGACATTGCTCTGCATGTACATCCCAGATTTCCTGATTTTGCGGGCAGTCTTGCGAAAGTGATTAATAGCTTGTAAGACACTGTCTGCAGTCCAGTGTTGTCGAGTGAGTGCGTTCTCTACCTTGAAGGGTCCATCTCGTGTTCTTCGCACTTTAGTACAGACCGCAGAGGCCCGCAACTCCAGTCCAACCTCATGAATCAATTTACGCAGATACTTCTGAGTCTCATTTACACACCGGACCTCTGAAAATTAGCAGATTTTAAAGAACATTGGTTTTTGGCTCAACAAATATAGCTGATTTAAAGTCACATTTATGTAAATTCATCATTCAGTGTACTAACCCAAAGTAAAATGAGGTGGATTAAATTTTATGCATCGCAGGCCAGTCAAAATAGGTGGGCTTTTACCATCAGGATACAATAAACCTCTCGCTGCAAGCTCATAAGCCTCCTGAGTTTGCAGTTCCACTTGAGAATATCTGAATATAGATATAATATGATTCTCAGAAATATAGAATGAATTAAGCAATGTGGAAATGTAGGCTAATATTTTTAAAGTGTCTCACGTGATCAAGGCTTTCTGATTGGATCCCTGTAACATGGCAAGAACTCTTTCCAGCTTATCATGGGTAATATGGTCTGAAAAAAGCAATGTAGACACAAAATAATTCAACATTGCAGCGGAAGGACATCAGCTGCGTAAAACATTGGCTGTATAAGTTGGCAGTTCATTCTGCTGTGGTGACTCCGGATTAATAAACGGACTAAGATGAAAAGAAAATGAATGAATGTTTACAAATATTCAGAAATTGAACAAAATGTTCTCTAGAGCAAACAATTGTGAGTTTTGCTGTAAGTTATCTCCTAGTGCCTTTGTGATGTTTTTTATATGGTGTAACAGCTGCTAACAACTCTGAAATTGTACTTAGCTGTTGCTAGCTACTAGATTGAGTGTCACTGGCAATACATTTAGTTGACTTTTTAGCAAGATGCTCTTCACCTGTGGAGCTTTTTAAGGTGCTGGTTGTTGCATTTTCTCATGCTGCGGCAACATTTCAGCGACAGCCCTTACAAATGATCTGATTTTGTTCGGTGTCTGTGACTTTGAACCAAAATATTCCCATATTACCAACGTGCCTTTATTCTTTGATATGAATTAGTCTATTAATGCTACTGAAGCGGCAGACATCATCATCCCACTTGTCCGCGCTTTCCTGTTTATTTGATTTATTGTGGGTGTTTCGCATGGCTCGGTTGTGCAATTCTGATTGGGCAGAACGAAAGTGAGCTCACTCAATTTGCTATTAAGTCTGTCACACAAAATTTGCTTGACTGGGGGAAATAATACAATCTATATATATATATATATATATATTTCATATCGCAGACTCTTGCAATTAGCTAATCGCAACGTTTCAAATCGCGATTCAATTTCAATTAATCGCACAGCCCTATTTCATACATAATGGAATTTGTAAAGCGGTTCAGTACTGCCCACATGTTTGAAATATACTTGCGGTGGTAGCCGGACTAAAACACACCTTTTACCCACACCACATAAAAAGTTAACTATATGCAACAAACAACACACAATTAGATTTTAACACTATTTTTATTAATATCCGTTTTAAACTTTTTCTTTTTAATGGGTTAAAGTAAAATAAAATAAAAAATAAATATTAAAAAATTATTTTATGCTATCCATGTGCACCCACTGACAGGTAAACTCTGCTTCTCTCTATTTCTCATTCAAGTTCAGGTTGGTTTATTGACATGACATTTTGTGCAGTATTACCAAAGCATTTTAGATATGTAAAAAAATGCAATATATTGACATCATCAAATTAATTATATATACAGCAAATGAGAAATAAATGACAGAAAAAAAGAATAAACAAGACAATCTCTTTAAAATATTATAATTACAAGAATGAAACATGTAGATTATTCAAATAAGACAAACAAGTTTATTACCCATTTACAGTAGTATACAAATGTTCTGCAGCCAATTTGGATGTAATGTCGTCCTCACAGAGTATTTAGTCAAGTTTTTTTGTGTTGTTTAGATTTAATAATTAATTATTTAATATTTTTCTTGCTCTAGCAGCTGTGCACATAAAATTAATGACAGCTTAAAAAACAAAACCAAATCCCGGACATTTTAGAGGATTTAAAAACTCCACCCGAAGGCAAAAAGGTGTGGGTCTCTGTGGGTCTCCAGAACATGTGAGACTGTCTGTGGGAGTTTTGACAGTTCTCGTGCACACAGAACGAGCAGTACGAAATGGGTAAAGGATCGAAGAATATCCACTACTTAATCGCTCACGGATGTTTGTTTATATTGGGCAGATACAAAAAAAGTTTAAAAGGATGATAATAGTAAAAAAAAAGGTGTCACTTAATATACCTGGGCAGCCTGTCCAAGTAAAGTCTATGTGTGGGAAGCACTGCAGTTTCTTGATATTAAGGTTAATAATTTTGATAGTGTAATAAACATATTACCATATGTAGTTTTCTCAATGACCCGACCAGTGTGACTGAAATTATCGGTGGCTTTTCCAAACTCGCCCTCAATCGTATAGTCCTTCATATATAAAATAAACACAACAGTTATTATA